TTTTGTGTATGCGTGTGTCTTGTGTGTATGTGTGTCTGTGTATGTATGCGTGCGTGTGTATGTATGCGTGCGTGTGTATGTATGCGTGTGTGTGTGTGTGTGTATTTGTGTGTACGTGTTGTGTGTCTGTATACGAATATATGGAAATATATAGAGATGAAATCGTATTTACAATATTGCTTATCGTCAAAGGTATGTATGGGAAAATGTCAATAATTAGGTAGTTTTGTTTATGTTTGCGTAGCTCTGAATGGTGTTTGTTTGTTGGTGTGTGTGTGTGTGTGTTTATGTGTGTGCGTGAATGTTTGTCTATGTATGTGTGTATGTAAATGTGCGTGTCTATGTATGTGTGTATGTAAATGTGCGTGTCTATGTATATGCGTGCGTGATTAAGTGTATGGATGTGTGATTGATTGTATGTGAGCGCTTATGCAAATGAATGTGAGTGAGTGTGTGTGTATTTGTATGATTGTTTGTATGTGCGTTTGTGTTCGTATGAATGTGTGTGTGTGCGATTTGGTGTGTTTGTGAATGTGTGTGTGCGTGCGATTTGGTGTGTGTGTGATTGTGCGAGTTAAAATTTTTGTGCGTGTATTTATGTTGTAAACGCCATAATAATATTTGCTCACGTAAATAAATAGTTTATTTGTTGATAAAAAGTTTGCCAGAAATCACACCTAAAACATAGCTAAAGGGTGTTAAGGGGTGAAACCTTCCACCATAGATATTTTTTTCTAAGCCCTCATCCCCCCCATGTAGAAAATTGTTAACTACGACACTGAAATACACAGAAACACCAACGTAAGAAGAAATATCACGCAAGTAAGGAGTTGAGTTGCCATCCGCTGGCAATGGGGAAGTCATTAAAAAATTATAGATCACCAAGCAAACTTCACTTTCTTCTAAGTTATGATTGATTGACAGCAGCACGTGACAAGCTCCGCCCACCCATCATTGGTGCAAATATATGAATAAATGTGTGTAAGCAAATAAATAGATGAATGAATGAACGAATGAATGAATGAATAAATGAATGAATGATGAGGTAAATTAAGGAAGAAACGAAAAAAATTGCGAATGAATGAACGGAAGGAAATAAATAAATAGACAGATAAGTATACGAACAAACGAACGAACGAACGGACGGACGAACGAACGAACGAACGAATGGATGAATGGATGGATGAATAAGTAAATAAATAAGTTTGTGAATGATTGAATAATCGAATGGGAAGTATTGAACATTGAGCCATTTTGTTTTCTCACAAAAAATGTTGTTTACAGAAGTGCCAGCAGACAGTTCAGCAGAGAAATGTTGTTTTTGCTGGTGTTGTTGTGCCTTTGTGACTGATGTGTTGTTGTGCCTTTGTGACTGATGTGTTGTTGTGCCTTTGTGACTGATGTGTTGTTGTGCCTTTGTGACTGATGTGTTGTTGATCTTTCGCACCAATACTTCCACACATAAACGTTCAAACATTCAATCCAGAGAGCATTCGTCTGATGATGTTTACGTCAACGCGTCAAGTCATCATCATTCATGACGTCATCATTCATGGCGTCATCATCATGACGTCATCATCACGATGTCATCATCATTACTTGGTTTTTGTTTTAATATTTTATTTAAATTACAATTCTTTTACATCTTTTGGTTACCTTCTTTCTTACATTCCATTTTGAATACGCCAGAAAAGCTATTTAACGGCGATGAACGCACAGTTTTAAAAATGCACCCAAAGATAAATTAACGAAAATAAACACAAATCATAATCTCTGCACGCGTGTATCATATAAATATAAATGAGTGGAAGAAGAATAAACACAATGACTGAAAAATATGCACATATACATGCCAACGACTAATACATATTCAGGCACATACACACGCATACACATAGACGCACACACATATATACATAAGTATGCATATACACATACACATATATACATACTATTTTTTCTTGATACATGTACACAGACTAATACGTACACCTATATTCCAGCTTGGAGAAATATTCCAAACCGGAACGATACATTGATTTTGCAGCAAGGTGAGTGATGATGAAACAGGTGCAACTACAATTTTCTAAAGTGAGTGTGTGCTGTGTGCTGCAAGTATGTATGTATGTATGTATGTATGTATGTATGTATGTATGTATGTATGTATGTATGTATGTATGTATGTATGTATGTATGTATGTATGTATGTATGTGTGTATGTATGTATGTATGTCGGTATGTATGTATGTAATGTATGTACAAATGTTTGTATGTTTGTTTTAATGCACGAATCGGTATATACATGTCTATACAACTGGGTAAAAGTTCACATGTATTTAAAATTTATCTCAGTTTGTGTTATGGTTAGTGGGCTTGTGTGAAGTTTACATAAACTTTTTGATATTACTCTTCCGTAGAATGATGTTACTGTGTAAATAAACTAGAGGAAACTATCCATTTTCAAATGTTAAGAAAATACATAAGTGGCAACTTCATGAAACTTTCAAATTTTTTTCAGCCAAATAGTTGTTGCATGCTCTGAAAATATTTCAACTAGAGAAATCACAATAGTTGGATGAATAATCTGCGAAAAATTTCACAAATAACAATGTTTATCATTTAAATGGCCACAAATTTTAAAACGTGAACTTTTGATCATCTTTTTAAACAGCGTTTAATTGAAATCGCGAAAGCTACAGTTACCTAAATCCTAGCATAAAATGTAATAAGTAGAATATCAAAATGTTGTATGCGGTTTGTCAAGGCTTTTTTCTGAAATAAATGAATGAATAAATAATTATATATATATATATATATATATATATATATATATATATATGAAAAGAGAAAATTGCTACAGATAATCCGGTGGGGGCAGTTAATGTTTTGTACAACTATTGGAAAGATATAAACATCATCCGTGAAGTCCTTGTGTCACTTGTTGAATATCACCACATTTCAACTACTACAAAGTAGTAAAGATTGAGTTTTGTGGAGGTCAATGGTCGCCAATGTCTTGAAAGGATAAGGCACGAGAAGAAGATATGTATCAGTATATATAAATGAATGAATACATAAACGTAGTATGATTGCCCATTTATCAAAGAAAGCTTCTGAAAATTTTATTTTAGTTTTTGTTGTTGTAGATTTATTGCCAAATTATACATTGTGGCGAAAATAAACCATAAGTTAGTTTAGAGATTTTAACATTTTAGTCAAGTCAGTTGGAGATTTCGACAGTAATTTATACTAGATCAAATAAATTTCATTGGTTAATCAGTTGCTGAATCAATTTTTTTTCTGTTCTCAAGAATTCATTTTGAAATTGTTTTAAAATGTTAGAAAAATTAAGTAGAGTTATATCATAAGCTATTCGGATGGCGAATGTATTTAAATTTTTTTGAAATTTAAGAAAATCACATATTTTTGGATGATTTTGATTAGTGTAAAGTAATGCGGCCCGTGTTTGGAGTAGTCATTTCTGAAACCTTCCATCTCAATTTCATATTTCAGTTATTTAATTTCTTTCTTTGAGAGAATCTTAATCCATTTATTGCACGTGACGGGCCGAATCTTTTTGAATTCTAACCTAGTAACTGAATCAGACACCATAAACATTAGACCTCCTCGTCTCAAATGATATTATTATTATTATTATTTTATTATTATTATGAACCTTTTTTTACAATCCAGAGTCGATATGTTGGATGCTCTTATTTATTTCAGAAATAATTTCATAAAAGTTCTAAAAGGGATAAAAATAATATGAGGTTTAAAAATTTTTTAGGAATAAATTTCAGCTTATAAGACAAAAAAAATTCGCATTTTTCATATGGAATTATTTTAATTCTCATTCATTCGTTAGAGATTTGATAATTTGAAAAAGACAGCTTCGATCTTCGTTTTTCACTGAACAATGTGTGTGTCCTTTGACAATATTTCCTAATCTGAATTAATACAATAATAATAATAATTTGAGAAATCTCAATTATTTTTAGAAATATAACTAATATCTTCTACTCGTTTCAGACACATCAGAACTCGTCAGGGCACCGTTCATTTTAAAAAATTTTTAGAATAACTTTGATACTGAATTGTTGAAAGAGAGCAGTGCCATTCGTCCCGGCAGGCTAAATAACGCCAATTTTAGATTAAAAACAAAGCATATATACTTTAAGGTGACAAATAAGTTAACCAAGAGTTAGTATCCGTATGAAATATTAAATCTTTGTAATTTAAGGAAAATATTTTTTGCGCCTACAAATGCTTTTGAAACTTAGAATAAAGAAACAATACAAACAAAATTAGCTCATCCGAATTAATTAGTAAAAAAATATATGATCAATAAAAGAGATTTGGAGAAAAAAAATATAAAAAGAAAAAGATGATGATGATGGAGAAAATGAGAGAGAGAGAGAGAGAGAGAGAGAGAGGAAGAGAGAGAGAGAGGAAGAGAGGGATGGATGGAAAGAATGTATACACAATATACGTACTATAAATTTCACACTCGGATATGGTCATTTGAGATGCATGCTTGTTGGAGGCAACTGCTTCGTGTGTACAGACATACAAACACACATGCATACAAACATACAAACACACATGCATACAAACACACATGCATACAATCATACTGAGGTATAAAAAAGCATGCTTTATATAAGTGCAGCTAATATTTTACTCTACTCATAAACGAATAAATGTCAACATGAATGTTATATGTAAGTAAATACATGCGATAAAATGTTCAGACAATATTTTTTATAAATTATTTGTTAATTTTGTAAAAAAAATTTTTAGTCTGAAATGTTTTCCCCGAATAAATCTTCATCAAAGTCGTTTTCATCGGTTACAATATCACCTTTCTCCTCACCATCAGCAGCATCACCAGTACCAACATCTCCATCATCTTCACCATTTTCGTTGTCCTTGTCATCATTTGCATCAACTTCCTCCTCAAAATTACATCCAAAGATGAAGAGAACAGATCTGTTTAGAAGAGAAGACATCACACAACATCGAGCAAAAATAAAAACGACAGGCATAATTTCGTCATCAAGATCATCCTTGCCACCAGAATCAGCATTATTATCATCATCTTCATCATCACCTTCATCTACATCATCATCTACATCATCCTCGATAATTTCATCCTCATCAACATCGTCATCATCCTACTCATCGTCGTCTTCTTCCCCTCTACGACCACCATCGTCATCATTCCGGCCCTCAGTACCATCACTATCACTGATGATGCTGGTTACAACAGTATACGTCTTCGTCATCTTCGTCATTGTATCAGATTCCAAAAAATTTTCAAAAGAACTTCCAAACTTTCCTGGACTCTACGCCATGGGGTTGGTTCATTTCGTCGGCAAAATGATCGAAATTTTGTTTCGCATAATAAAATATTTTTTTGATTTAACCCGCAATACTAAATTTGCTATTAGTACGTTATTGTTATTATCACATATTACAATCTGTATGTGATATTACATTGTGCATGCACTCAAATCGTGGTGATTCTTTTGTTTTTATTAAAAATTTTGAAAATAAAATTTATACCATTTATACAGGATATTTTAAATGTAATTTTCTGCTGAACGAATAGTGCCAAACACAAAATAACAAATCAGTGAACAAGGTATCCCACTTAAACATTTGAAGAGCAGCTAGTTTTAAACGTGTCAAACTTTGAAAATATCTTGTCTTGTGCTCACACACATACATATAAGGATTACTACAGTTCATGCATTTTGTTCTGTTTGTAAGTTTTAAAAATTTTGGCACAAAGGACGGACTAACCTGCAACTTTGTAGATGTAGAACGGTTTTGAAGGAGTTCTGCTTGTCATAGCTGATAAATTGAAAAACGAAAATTAAAATAAAATGAGTAGAAAATTTTTGGTCAAGAGTTTGATGTATTTTTTCTATGGCCTAGTTGGAAGGGATGCATCCCAACATCTTTTCCATATTCCCCCGTGGTACCAAGTAATATTTTATTTTTTGTTTCAAGCACATGAGCTATTCAAAAACAGAAACATCTATCTGTAGTGAGGAAATAAGTTCAATAAAAAAAAAAGTTACAAAAGTTTTTATGTGAGTTTTTTTTTATCATACTGCTGGAGGCTTGCATGTTATACACTTATTGTTATACTGTATAAGCGTTTATGTTTATATATGTTTAACATTTTCAATACAAGAATTACTGAAATCAAGAGTTGACAGAAATATGATGTCATTAACACCCATGAAATGTATTTAGTTTTTTACGTAGCTATGCATATGCACACATACCTACACCACCAAATCAAATAATCCGGGCATGAAGAGATAGCTGGCATACATCGACATGGCAACCAACTGCCATGCCAACCAAGTGATCGTGATGAGGCCTATTTTCATCATTCGTTTCATGATTTAAAATATTAAAATAATAATAATAATGATGATGATGTAAGTTATATATAAACTTGTTGAAGCTAATTAAAAAAAAGCTGACTGAAAAAAAAACATTTTAAAAATGTCATCCCAATGTAAACTGAGTCCGTTAAACCGACAGTGCAGATTACATAATTATCTTGAACGGTTAAGTTTTTCATATGTAGAAATGTGAAAGAAATTGCTATCACGAAGGCCAGGTCATAAATTTGATACAATATTTAGTCGCTTTCTCAGTTCGTTCACGTTGCATGTCTGGGTTGGATTGGTGAGTAGGTACTCAAGGGTGCTGTAAAACAACCATATATACCTGAAGAATGGAGCCAGGCATGATACCATTGAATCATATGCATCCACAAACATTAGAATATTCATTTCAATTCTTCTGAAAAATACAATAAGTGTTCAGTGATACAGTGAAGTGATACATACATTGACAAAAAAGTTGCCCAAAACATTCCAAACTTCGTCTTGTCAAAAAAATAACTGAAAAAAAAATGTCAGAAATTTTTTTATGTACCTACCTATTTACATACGCATGCGAACTTGCAAGCCCTGTATATTGCACGTACAGCACAGCCATGCTGATCTATGGATGTACGTTGCAAACAAAAAGAATGCACGTATGTGTAAGTAAGTAACGTCTGGAAATATGTAGAAATGAATTAATGCATGCATGTGAATGAATGTAGATGTTTGTAAATGCATGCATGCATGCATGTGCAATTGAATGCAGACATACGTACAAGTTCTGCAGTTATGTGTGTATTTCTGGAAAGACTATTATTGATTTTGGTCAGCTTGTCATGATTTTCATCTCAGCAGGCACTAGCTACTCCGTTGTGTATGTGCGTGTGTGTGCGCGTCTGTATGTGTTTGTGCGTGTTTGTACACATGTGCGTGTATGTGTAGTTGCTTTTGTGTTACTGTTTGCGTATGTTGGATTATGAAAGGGCTGGCTTGGAAACTTGCGTACAAGATGTGTGGTTTTAAAAAAGAGTGTTAAGCGTGTTTTTATTGCGTGAAAACGTATCGATACGAGTGAATAGTGTTCAAGTTTTCATGTGAGTGTTTATATGTGTCTGTGTCGAACTATGCGTCAATAAAGATTTTTTATTTCATTGAAAATAAACATGAAATAAGCCAAAACCATTTGATTCGTGAAAGCTCTACGGTCTAGCGCTAGAAGATGAAATATTGAAACATATGCATATATTTAACCGTACTCAAACAGATATGTAAACATATTCACACAAACATACATCTCAACACATGCATAAATATACAAACACACACGTGCATAAATACACATACATATAAAGACTCACACACTCACACACACACACACACTCACACACACACACACACACACACACACACACTTAAAGAGAAACACGTTGTGTATCTACGTATGCGTGTGAGTGCGTATCTGAAGTGTGTATGAGTGTGTATCTCATTGAATGTGTGTCTCATTGAATGTGTATCTGCCTGTATCTGCCTATGTATGTGTGTGAGTGTAGGTTTGGATATGTGTAAATGTGTGTGTGTGTGTGTGTGTGTGTGTGTTTAACTCCGTACGCTCGTCTATTAAGCATAGTCTTATTTAATTTGTTGTTAATTTTATTGAATGCAGTTACAAGTATTTGACGAGGAAGGAGAGGGAATCGAACGGTAGTAGAACAAAGGAGGAACTCAGGTCTGTTAGTCTGGTGATGGTTATTATTGTTATTATTATTATTAATAAGATTATTGATTTTATATTTTGAGGTTTGGTGGTAATAAAAAGAGATACCATTATAACCATGATTAGTAGTTTTACTAGATGTATTAGCATTATAAGCTATTAATTTCTTTTAATTATTTTTATCATCATTATTGATATAGTTATTGTTATTATTGTAATTAAGCTATAGTAATTATTGTTAATATAATATGATTTTCATCTCAATTATTTGAATCGTAAGGCACTCTACCGCGATTTCCATAAAAAAAAATCCTCATATAATTGATATGTATGCCTAATTAAAATAGCAGCAATATTAGTAGTCTCAGAACAGCAGTGGTAGCAGCTGTAGTAGTGGCGTTACTAAAAATAGTAGTAGTAATAATATTAGTAAAAACAGTAGTAGTAGTAGTAGCAGCAGCAGTAGTAGTAGAAGTAGTCGCAGTAATAGTAGTAGTTGTATTATCAGTTGGAAAGTTAAAAATATACTGTGCACACCATTTTAAATCATTTTCCATTAATTTATTAATTTATTCATCATTGTCCCTTGAATAAATTTGCAGGCCATCAGCTGTGATGCAGAAGCTGCTAACTGGCTACGTCAGGACTGATCCGCCATCTTTTTGTAAGATGACATCATTTATCAACTAATATATATATTTATAATTATGTTTGTTGCTCTTGCCGAAATAAGAAATCGAATTACAAATGATAGAATAGAAGTGCCTAATGAAATGAATCACAGTAAAATGTATTTGTATATACGACTCGTGATGGCATACCAGCATAAGGGCATGAAAATTTGATTTAATCAGCATTATGCCGACAGTTGAAAGTATCATATATTAATAATTGACCATCGTAACTGATGATAATTTCTTTTCACCATGAAACATTCATCATATGAATTTCTCTTAAAGCAACCACCGAAGTTGAGCTGGGTGTCTACATCATCAGTTTCTATTCGGTCAACGAACAAACCATGGTTGGCTTCCTTGCTGTTGTATAAGTTTATTTGTTTTTATTTATTTAATATTTTCTTTCTATATTTTTATCTCTTTTTTCTTTCATTCTCCTTCTCTCTCTCTCTTTCCTCTATTTATAAAAATACCTTTAATTTTTACTTGTCGTGACATCTCGAATCATCTAGTGCCTCAAATCTTTATGCTCTATAAGCGCTAATTCTGACCATTACCGATAATTTACAATGTCTCGATTGTATCGTTACACTAAAATTTAAACTACTTCATTGAATGGATGACGAATTATCAGTAGAAAGGAAATGCAGAACTATCCAACCTCTTTGAAATTTAAACTATTTCATTGAATGGGTGACGAATTATCAGAAGAAAATAAATGCAGAACTACCCAACCTCTCTGAAACAAACCCACCAACCAATCAGGACTACTCAGTAAGCATGTACTTGCGACAGAAGTGGCAAGATCCTCGACTAGACGCCTTCAGCTACATGGGAAACAAGTCCCTGAGAATGGGTGACAAGGGCTGGGAGAAAATTTGGGTACCAGATACCTTCCTCAAAAACGAAAAAGGTAATTTTGATTTGCGTTTTGAAATTACTGATTGAAAAAACCCACATGGTTGTGTTGGACCCTTTGTCTCAAAAAAATTGTATTGATTTGGATGTTGGGAGAGTAGTAAAAGAAAAAGTAAAACATTTGAGGATGAGGGTGTTATGTGGGATAAGAATTTTTCAATGACATTTCGGCTTATTTTTACATTTTAAATATGCAATGATGCCATACAAATGCCTATCCGATCGTCTCTTGTAAATTCTGACGATTTGGATATCTTTGGATGGCTACTCCTTATCCAGTGGGTTATTAGGTGGAACGTGAATCCATGTTTTAGCGAATGTCACACATATAATGTGAAAATCATCGATAAATTTTTTAGTTGAATGTCAGTAAAAGCGTTTTCAGGTTATCATAATGGTCAAAATTTTATTGATTATTTTTTTAATTTTTCACTGTTTAAAAAATATTTTTTCCTGAACTTGATTATATATAAAAATAAATTCGACAAGTAGATGATTTATTTTGAACAAAAATCTATTTACTCTGAAAAAAATTGGCAATATTACTTAAATTCTAACTTTGATCATTATTATTATTTACAATATTTTTAATTAGTTAAAATGAATAAAATAAACAAATTTATCATTATTTAATGTTAATAATCAAATTATTTTTATTGAATTAAATTAAACTAAAATAAACAAAATTAAATTAAATTAAATTGAAAACTGTAACGTGTAGGAGCTAGTTTTCATTCAGTCACAGTTGACAACCGCCTGATCGAGATCAGGGCGCCTACGACTGTCTGGTATGTTATCAAGTGAGTTTTTTTTAATTTATTTATTTTATTTCTTTTTATCTTTTATGGGATTAAGGTGCCTGGCTCTAATGTTGCAGTAACCATGTTCAAATGCAAATACATCCCTCCTAACACGTTCAATGATTGCGATGAGTTGATTCACGTACGTCAAAATGCAGTGTGTCTTCGTTGTGGAGGCCTGTGAGGAATTTTAATAATAGAATTGTGAAAAAACAAGAAGCAAATTTTTGATCTTTAATATTTTTTTAATTATTATCTTCGATCGTTGTAATTATTATCGAAGTTGCGATGTTTTCCTTGAAACAATTCAAAATTAAATCATTTTTGCGTTTAAAAATTTTTTTACTTTTTTTTTCACTTTCGGTAAGTTAGTCGGTAGAAATGAAACCTTCCGCGTTGTTATTAATTACGCCATGGTATAGTTCGAATACTCTCTCTGTGCCAAACTCAAAAACACCATCATACGCGTGCGATGTGTTGCTTGTGCCTGTATAGATAACGTGTATGTGCATCGTGCGGTGTGACTAGTACAGTTCTTGAGGTTCGAAAATTTGACCCTAAGTATTGAATGATATGTGAGCGGTTGTCAGAGCTGGCCGGCATAATACAAAAGAATATGATCCTCAACAGGATATCAGCAACGTTGTCGTGTCCAATGACCCTCGAAAATTTTCCTCTGGACACCCAAGTCTGCCCCATGTCCTTTGAAAGCTGTTAGTTTGTCACGCGTGTTAGTCATTCATCACTCATTCATTCACTCATTTACTCACTCACTCACTCATTCCCTCACTCACTCACTCACTCACGCACTCATTCATTCATTCATTCATTCTAACAATGACCTATTCAACCTCAAAACATCTACCCACAACGCAGTTGGATACACGGCGACTGTCATGAACTTCAGCGAATTCAAGAACCAAGAGTTTCTGGAGACGGAGAAGAAGGTGGAGATGCCACAGTTCAGCCTCATAGCTGCTTCCTCCAAGGACTGTTCCTCTAACTACACCTCTGGTCAGTATTGTTCGCTGGCCCTGAATTTTAATTTAGCCAGCTGTACACTTATTTTGTCAATTTGACAAGTTTATAGAAGGAAACGAAACGAAATGAAAGTTTATTCAGCAGCAATAATTGCATAGGTGGTAATTTTGAAAGACTGACCAAAGTAAAATTTCAAGTTGCCTGTGCTTTATTGGGGTGCAACAATAAAAATTATAATGAGAACTCTTTTATTTCTTCAAAAGCCAAAATATAAATAAAAATTACATTTAAATATAAAATGATCAATTATTATAATAGTTAAAAGATTAAAATAATGAATAATTTAACATCAATGCTCGCCATTATGAATGTGTACAAAGATGATAAAATAATATAAAAACTAGAGTCAAACTTTATTTCTGTCACAATATATTGCGTAAGTAGATGCTATCGCAGAATTGATTAAGCTAGATCTAAAATCGTCACGCCAGTTTATTTTAGTCTGAGATAAATTGAAAGAATTATAAAGTTCTATTGGCGAAATAATCGTTATAATAATAATAATAATTATAATAATAATAGTAATAAAAAATAAAGTTATAATACCTTACGATGAAGTTGCATGGACAAGCCATCCAACATTTCAGGGATATATCCCTGCTTGGAAATCAAGTTCTACTTGAGACGGGACCTCGGCTACTTCATCATCCAGGTGTACGTTCCCAGCGTCCTTATCGTCATCCTCTCCTGGGTCTCCTTCTGGATCAACGTGGATGCCAGTCCCGCCAGGGTCTCTATCGGGCTGCTAACTGTCCTCACCACCACAACTATGAGTAGTGGTGCAAGGTTGGTAGGTGGTGGCTGTTGTGTGGCTGGTGACTGTTGTGTGGCTGGTGGCTGTTGTGTGGCTGGTGACTGTTGTGTGGCTGGTAACTATTGTTTGGCTAGTGGCTGTTGTGTGGCTGGTGGCTGTTGTGTGGCTGGTGGCTGTTGTGTGGCTGGTGGCTGTTGTGTGGCTGGTGTGTGACTGGTGGCTGTTGTGTGGCTGGTGGCTGTTGTGTGGCTGGTGACTGTTGTGTGGTGGTGCTGATGACTAAAACAACCCAATTTTGTTTAAAAGCAAACAATAGCAATTAAATTTTAGATCTAATTTAATATCTTTTAGTAAGAAATTAACTTTGACAACGAGCCTTTAGCAAAATTAAACGATAAACCATCACACATACGAATACGCGCAACGGCACGCACACACACACCAAGACACACATACACATTCCCACACACACATAAACGTTTCCACACACACATACACATTCACACGCACATACACGTTTCCACACACACACACATACACACACACACACACATTCCAAACACACATACACGTCACCACACACACACACACACACACACACACACAGACAAACTGACATACACAAACAAACAAACCTTCATCAGAGCAACACTCCCACGAGTTTCATACATAAAGGCCATCGACGTCTGGATGATTGTTTGCCTGGTTTTCGTCTTCACCTCCCTCATTGAGTATGCAGTTGTTAACGTTTTCGCTAGGAAGGTTTCGTCAATTTTTTTTCAATTTCTTTCAAAATCACACTTTAATATATTTTTTATTCTGGCTTAAGCTTCAAATTAAGATTTTCAAATTTCAGTTTGCGGTTACGTCTAACTTGTTGCATCGAAACGTTAAAAATCCTTATTACTTGTATGAGAATTTTTGTGTACTATTGTTGGAGATATAAAAATACTAATAATACTAAAATAATAATAATAATAATATATAATACTAAATAATAATAATAATAATAAAAAATTTTAAGAAGACTTTACTGAATACGAATTTTTGAAGAACATTCGATATTATATGTTTTATTATAGATTTGTGAATGTATTTAAAAAAAAAAAACAGGTTGCACGCCCACCGAAGCACTTCAACAATCCGCCACCACTGACGCCCCGTTTGCCGCCTCACCACCACATCCACCACAGCGGGGGGTGCGGTTGTGGCAACAAGGGGTCGTGTATAATGGCCAGCAGGGTTCGCCTTTAAATTTTTTCATCTTTTAATCATTTTTTTAGAGTTAGTTCTCGTCTTCGAAATGGTTTTTTTTTCAAAGAATTGAAGAAATAAAGTTAGACACTTCTCTGTTGGTTACGTTTTGCTAGTTTTGTTTGTTGGTTTTTAAAGTTTAAAAATGCTAAAACCTTGATAACTTATTAATTTTTTATACAATAGTATTTCACGTCATTGCCATATTTATAAAAATTCAAACACACAAACCACCATACATACCATTCACCGGTGGTATTTGGTTTCTTAATAAATAAATAAATTAATTAATTATTAATTAATTAATGACTTTTAATATTTTTTTTAATTTTTTCGCCTCAGGACTCTGGCAACCCCATCGTAACGAAATGTTGCATTGTAAGTGTTTTTTCATGATACAATTTTTTATTATCCTGTAAAAAAAAACCCAGAATCTGATAGACGCAGACCAAATCAATACATCACTCATACGCTTCTCAATTAGTTAATTTGACATGATGCTTCTTGAAATTGAAAAATTTAATTAAACCTTTACAACATTCGAAACCTAACCAAAAATAAAGCGATATTGTATTTATGATATACCTATATGATAAAACAAAATAAAATAAATAATATCAAAAAACGTATAAAAATACAAAACATTCAAACTTGTCCAGTGCTACCACTCGTGTAACCAAATCATGGAGAAGGAGCAAGAGAAAGACGGAAAGATTCGAGCGAGAAATGTGGATCGAGTGGCCCGCAAAATCTTCCCCGCCTCCTTCCTAGTCTTCAACATCATCTACTGGCTCTACTACATCGTTCAGCCCTTCACGCCAAACATTCTTCCCGCTAAAAACATCCTGAAGCCTACCCAAGTTGCTCCCCCAGAAGATACATTTCTCAAATAAAATTTGATCCTTGTGTGTTTAGTATTCTAATGGGAGAGTTTTTAAATGTTTACGGGTAGTAAAATATTGATGAAATTTTTAAAATTTATAACTTTCTCTTTAGTATTGTTTGTTTGTGTGTTTGTGGGTGTGTGTGTGTGGGGGGGTAGTCTAGTGTAGTGTGGTGTGTTGTTTGTTTCCAGTAAGACTTGATCTTAACTGTCTTATCAACAAAGCACTCGACGAAATATTATTACATCACATACAACATACGTTGTGATGCAAAACTCGTGTATCAGTAAATTTTTTTTTATGTTTGAAAAACTTAACATGTATACGAAATTTTTGTGCGAGAGTTTTGAAAATTTTACGAAATTTTATTAAAAACGTGAAATAAGCATAATAAATACATCGCTCCGTTAGGAACCTTCATCTCGATCGTCATCTTTCAAGTTGAGGTTTTCTTTTATGTGTTGTTATTTATTAACTTTTATTTAATAAATTAATTTATTTATATATTATTAAGGTTTGTAATGTTATTATTGTCAGTTGTTGTTGTTATTATCATTGTTGCTAATATAATTTTATTAAAAATTGTTTGGTGACTATTAATTTTTTCATGCTTTAGTTTCAGAAGATAAGTTTCGTGAGGTTTGCTGCGAAAATTTATCACTAGACAAAACTATGTTTTAATTTGAATATACATCAAAACACTTACCTAGATTTATAAGTAGGTATATTAAACAATGTATGAATACTTGTAATGTTGCATGAATTTGTATGTATGCATGTATGTACAACATATGTATGTGTGATTGTGTAATTATTTTGTAAGTTATTGGCATTAAACATTGAATTGTTTCTTACTCTGTGGCTAATAGTGAGAATATAAAATTTATGAACATTTTGTGTCTCATAATGTTGTAAGAACAATGAGAGAGTTGAAGAAACGAAGGAATAATAATGTTTTATAAGGAGATATTGGTGGCTGTTCATCTAGTTAAATTTACGATGTCGACGATGATGATGAGTTTTATGACGTGATCACAATGATGATGATACATTTGATGGTGGAACTGTATTCAAAGATATTCCAGTACTTAATTACTGAATACTTATGTTAATTGTACTTTTTTTGAATAAAATAAACTTCTAAATACCTAATACTTTTAATTAAAAATACTTTATTTATTCATTACTTTTATCAATTCATTTTTTTTATTTATTCATTATTTTTATTTATTCAATTATTGTTTACCAAATTTTATTTGGCTATAAATTTGTCATTCTTTGAATGTCTGTATGAAATTTCAATTAACTAATTCAATTCAATTCAATAATGAGTGTATTTGGCAAAAAAGCTAAGAGACCTGAAGATATGACTTGTTGGGCCACCATAAAACTCATAAGTAACAATTCACATGTAGGAGGAGGTGATTATCCACCTTTCAAATTCTTGACGTTACTGCGGGCTGGGTTGGAAATAGGGCAGATGTCTGTCTTCACAAGATTTTTTGGGTTTCTTATTTAATTTTTCATGGCGTTTATTTATTTATTTATTTATTTTATTTGTATATTTTTGGTTGAAAATTTAGTAATGTTATTTTACGCAACCCAGCAGCCAAATGATTTAACCCATTTTTGAAGGTTAACACGAATTTTTTTTTGGTAAAATTGTAAAAAAAAAATTTGAAGGTCTTCCGAAAATTCTCGACGAGTTAACCTGGCATAGCAAACTTTATCGTAATTCACGCCAACTCTTTAGATATCATAGCTACTCCCTCGCTAGATTTAACATTGTCTCGGATTACAATCCTACCTGACTTTAAATACTTTCCAGATATAGCTTTGTTTTTATTACGAACGATGCTAATTTGTAATTGATATTTCTTGCAGACGGCTCATGCGGCTCTACGGATCTTTTCTCTGAATAAAAATAACATATAAAAATGCTGCTGATAGATTACTGAATTTTTTTTTAGAACTTTAAAAAATTTCATCTGCAAATCCAACCTTGAATTTCATTTTCTATGTGTAAAGCATGGCAATGTACTTATTGTTATTATCATTATAGCAAATTGGATGTCCAATTTTTTTTAATTCTTACGCGATTTTGTTGGTATCATGAATTAAGCATGTACTGTTAGCATATATCATCCTCTATGTTGCGAGCATTTCGTGATAGGCTGGAACCACGTTCGTCTCCGACTTTTATTTGTCTGGATTTTAAATATCTTTTAATGATATGACACTTTTTTGGTTTAAATTTTTAATCATTTTAAATCAATTCTAACCATTCATTATTTATATAAATTAAAATATTAATAATTATAATAACATGTCAATTGCTACATTTATACCAAAAAATTAAAAACAAGTCATAACAAAATTAAGTGGGATCAGTTATTAGTAAGATATCACATAGTAACAGAGACAACTAAAAACCGCAATTTTTAAAACAAATTTCAAAAAAATCCTCATACAGCACATAACTTGCATTTGCTTAAGTTCGATTCTTCATTCAGAATTCAAAACGTGAATTAATGAATGCAATTAATTAATGAAATCCCGTCAGTGAAACCAGCGGAATAAGAAAAATGAAGACTACAAATTGATTGGCTGGTTGAATCAAGCACGTATGTAATAAAAGTGTCCAACAATAAAACTCAATTTTAAAAATATATAACAATGATTTCGGCAACAAGGTCTTCTAGCGAGAACTTCCAATGAAAACGAAGCATCTTGCTTTTTATTACACCTGCCGGCGTTGGGGGCAATGAGACTAAGGTGAGATTCATTTGTGATTGCGCTGATGAAAAATATCGGGTAACTGCAATGTTAGTAACAATGATGGTGTGGTGAGTGGAAAAAAAGCTGGCAATGATGAAGATGATTAGAATGATGATGAGGATAATTTGATGACATTGGTGGCATTGAAGATGATAGGTATAATTATGAATACGATGATGACAAAAAAAGATGATAGAATGATGAAAATAACGATGGTGCTGATTAAATGTTGTGAAGTTAATGTGCAGACGACAAGAAGATGTGCTCCCGGTGCTGAGAAAACATTCCGACCGTGTACTGTGCCATACGAACCTTGACAATACACGTACACAGCGATGCACGCTGATGTACAATTGGTGTACGTGACACAGCTGTACACGCACGCACGCATACACACGCATACACATGCGTACAGACAGACGCGTGCATTCGTGTTGAACAGCATTGCACGGTATCAAGATGTATAGGCATCGTACACAAGGCACAACAACCGAGTACGCATCTCCTCGCCGTGTGCACTCAACATGTACCCCTCTGCTGGTTTGTGTACGTGTTGCCTCTGTTGGGGTGGGTGGTGATTTTGTTGTTCCTGAAAAGAAACGGCTGTTGATGACGTCATGACGAACGTCATCATTTCTCTCAAGCGTCGGTCTCCTGTCGAATCCAGCAGATGCACTCCCGGTGGTGATGCATGAATACCGATTGCACCGACATCATCTACGATCGGTGTACCGACCGATCAATATAATATCGGTACATCTCCACACTTACCGGGAACACACCGCTCAACCAGACAGGAAGGAAGCAGTTGTTTCAATTATGTTATATTCAGTTAACAAAATATTCATTTTTAATAAAAAAAAAACATTTTTAATGTTAGAGTTTTGGTGGGGACCATCTGAACTAACCTGAGGTTATTTATTCACCAGTTCAGAGTTGTGAAACCGGCACATGCCTGCATTCAATGCTGGAGATAATGGTCTGTAACGTGATCAACAATTTTTTGGGCATTTCCACTCAGTGGCATGAGGTTTTTTTTAAATATTTCAATTTTTCAGCTTGTAGTGGTGTAAAATATTTGGACGCTTTATAGTCTGTTGAATGAAATATTCATCACAAAATACAAAATAGCCTAAAAACCATCCGAAATTTCAATGAATATCACACGCGGTTTTAATATGCACACATTCACCACACATTTACCACACATTCTTGGTATCATATTTCAGCTCAGCAACACACAAGGCATAAAAGTTATATACTCCATTTCAGTTAGTTCAAAGAACTTCGGTCCACCTAATTATATTGAACTCAGCTCAGTGATAAATTATACATTCGTTCTCTTGTCTGTATAACTCTATCTACACGCACATGCACGATTCAAGAATTCAAGTGTATACACGCGCAGGCACGCACACGAAAAACATACATACAACCATACATACAAACATACAAGCAAACAAACATATATGGATACATAAATACAAACACACATGCAAACATGCTTACATACCTACATGCAGACATACATACAAACATACATTTAGACATACATACAAATATGCCTACAGACAGACATATTATAGTTTGCATATGTATGAATTGTGAAAATTTTAACATGTTTGACATACATACATACATACATCAGATGAACAATGAAGATTTCACAAGTTCGCATTCTTCAAGCAGAAGCGGCCCAAAGTTTGACTAGTGACCTAAACAGAATGAATGTGCTATTCTACTAGAGAGTTGATTTATAATAAGAATATGTTCTGTAGCATGTTTTACAATTATCTTCATTTATCTGTTTCAAAAGTTTTATAAATTTCAATCAACATCGATGCTGAGGTATAATGGAACATGAACCAAATCTTATCGACATTTTAAAAATTTAAATTAAAGTTTAACAAAATCACAAAAGAATATTGTTTCTCAAATTATTCTTAATCATATAACTTTCAATAAATTTTCATTGCGTCAGTTGGCTCAAAAATCCGAGCAACGAATAAATATGCAGTACCAGATGCAATAATAAAATGGATGAATGCTAATAGACACGATACCTCCATAAAATTTTAACTCAATTTTTTATTTTTATTTAAACGTCGTTGTTGGAGCATATTCGAAGCATTGTAAATTTATGTTAGCTTTATCGGGGTCACAAAGGTCAGCCATCATACAGTTTACTCACAGTTGTTAAAGATTTGACTTTCCAGTTGAAAAAAGGATTGTCTTGGAGATGGATCATTGTTTCGATTTTGTCAGGTTTATTAACGCTTAAAAAGCAATGCAGAAAATATTTTTCTGAACTGAAATTAAAAGCTTCAAACTGTTATTCAGCTGTTACAATATAAACTGAAATTAGGGTCATGAAAATTAGATGATTGTATATAGAAGATGCGAAACGTCAACTGCAACTATATCTTAACTTTTCATCTAAATGGCGAAAAGTCCTCTTTGGATGTTGAAAAATTAAAGCTTTTTTTGGGAATTTTTGTCTAAATAAATCATAAATATATCATATTATTACAAATTTGTATATGTGTGTACGTGCAAGCAAGGAAAATGTATGTTAGTATAAGCATTATATTACCAAGATTTATTGACAGAAATAAAAAGATTTTTAATTTTACAAAATAAAATTTGTATAAACTAAACTCACGTGACTTTATAATAATAAATTATAGGTAATAAAATCTAAAAAATATATATATATATAATACAAGCAGTAAGCCGAGCAAGTCACAATGATTCATTATTGTTTCATATTTTTATTATTATTATTATTACTGTTGTTGTTATTATTATTTGATTATGTTTTTCCTAATAAAGTTGGCAATGTGGTACAACGCGGTTTTTTATGAAAAGAAGGAATTCAAATCATTCGTATCAGAATTTTAAATACGCATTTATCGTGTTATTAGCTTATAATCGTTATGAATCGAATTGTACACATAAATTAAAATTTATGCCGGCATTTCGGTAACATAAAACCTACAATAAAACACACACGGACACGCAATAACACAAACAACAAACCACACTGACACACACGGGCATACATAAATTATACATACTTAGATATTTTACATACATACATACAAAAAATCTTTGAAAAACATTATACAGGGCGATATGATGATCATTATTTATTGATCCCAGACCTGCCAACGTCCTTTCATCGCGGACACATTTTTGCGTAAACATAGTATAAAATATTTCGCGATTATATATGAATAAATTAATTATAAAGTAATATATATCGTATATATATAGATATGCCAACATACGTCTCATTAGTATGCAAATTAGTAATGATGCAACGTATATTAAATTAGCATAAATAATGAATATTAAGTTTATGCTAATGTGCCAACTCTGATACCATTGTGAATATTTAAAATATGCTAAATTACACAAGGGAAGTCATATTTTTTATATATATATACTTACATTTCTGTCATCTTGACAAGCGCTGTTCTATTTCAGGGCTGAAAATTAATGAACGAAATGCTAGCTAGAGCTTGACCGACAAGCATCTTATTGGAAATTCATTAAATATTAATGGAATGACCGCTAGCAAATCAGATTCAATATTCTTGGTGAGATAAGCACGTGTGTGGGCGCAGTCAGCTGTTTATAGCCAACTGGTTATAATAAGTAAGATAAGTATGGTCGGACATAAGCGTGCGAACGATAACCTTTTGATATATTTTTGAGTTGGGCCTGATCTGTTGTTTGAGCACGTGGTTTTGAGACATAGGAGCGGCGTGAAGGTATAAAATTGCGATCTTTGTTTAAATAGTATATTTTATGTTTTATTTTGCAATTTATTAAAATTTATTGATGTTAATATAAAATTATTATAAACTGTTTATATTAAGTTTGGTTAGTGATTTTTTTTATTTATTGTTATTATAATCGTTATAAAACCTTTGTTTGTCTAGTAATGAAAGTACACTGCTAACCTGTTTTAATGGAATTATTTTGTTGGAATTGGACCTTTTTTGGACATGCGCTGACCAAAGGCTGAAAAAAAAGGTTTTAAAAAAAACATCTTCATTCGCTGCTATTTAAATCTGCATTAACAACTTCTCAATTTCCTTCCACCTTTTTACTTGAAATCTGCTTTTTATGTCTGACTGGTTGGAGAGCAAATACAAAAAATTTTTGAATGTCTTGAACTTTTTAATTTTTGAACGTGTGGCACTGTTATTGATTTCAACTTCAACCATGCAAACTCATCCCTCCTGTCCTATTTGATAAGCGAAATCCTTATACTACCTGATATTGATCACATTTTCATGATTAAAAATTTTTACCATTTTATCATTCAAATGTGGTTGAACCGTGAAAAACCTTTTAAGAACTTTTTGAGGTTTCATCGCTCGTTTGAGACTGGCTGCATTTATTTTCCGTTCCATCCTTCGAAGATCTGCTTTCAAAAGTGTTACTATACATCATATTTTTAATCAAAATGTCTTTGTTGAACTGATAAATTTAATAGAACAGAATGTTCCTAGTTGCTTTATTCAATTTATCTCTGCTTAACTATGTGTAACTTGTTTTTTTTTGACTCGCCATTTGTTCTAAAGTTAGTAATCTAAAATAATTAAATTTTATACGTTATGAGATAGAAATTATACTTCTCTTTAACCCATCTGAACATTTTAACGTATTGGCCGTGATTTGGTTTTTCCTTACTTATTCCAAGGTTTGGTCCAAATCTAAAAAAAATGTTCATTCTTATGTAACTTTAAAATTGTTTTGAACATTTTTTTACTTAGGTAGATTTTTCAACTTTAAATATTTTTTACTTTTCAGCGAGCCATGTTATAACTGTAGGGTTACAGTGAGTGGATATTCACTCTGCAGAGTTTCATATTGTCGTACCATGTAAAGTGTTTCCTTATTTTAGAATTTCTCAAACTACATTTTTATTACATTCTTGCTGGAAGTTTAAATTTAAAAAATGTTTTTTCTTACTGTAATGATCATTTCATATACGGAGTGTATGTCTGCGGCTTTTTAACCTAAGAGTCACGATGAGTTACTGTTTTAAGTTCCAAAATTATGTTCTTACTACAAGTTGCCTTTTAAAAGGAATACAGAGGTTTAGAAAGCTCCAGGGTGCAACTGATATTAATCTCAACAAAAATCACGGACTGGTCATTGTATGAAGCTTGCAATTTATAGCCGGTTGGGACTTCCTAGATATTTTATAATTATATATATTTTATTTATATATTATATAGTCTAAATCTTCAATTATTTCTTACGATGTTTGTGGATTCATGTGGGTGGGGCTTTTCAAAACTGAAGCTGATAACTACTTAGGACCCATCACGAGACCGTCAAGATTTAACCATCAGGCTTAATGATCAATTGCAAGTGAGACGGTGAAAGAAATAGAATTCGATGAAGTTATATTGACCAGTTTAAAGGAAAAAAATTTTTGAAGATAAAATAAATATCTATAACTCAAAGTTAACCAGTAACACTTCTATAATACTTAGGCATGCTGCTGACCTTGACTTATTAAATAAGTAAATAAATCTGGAGAAATGGCACCAACCCTGACGAAAGAGCTTTCCTTTCAGGTGCAACAAAAAATGTAATCTTTTTGAAAACCTTTATAGATCGACGAGATACAAAATACATTTGTGATTAAATGATTAATTACATTTCAATATAAAACATACTCCTTTCAACATAATCCTAATTAGAAAAATTATTTCAAGCTTTGAATATCAAAATAATTGTTCTTACCACAGGTATGCAACCTATTTAAATTTCGAACTCACAAGATTGAATTGTGATAAAGTTCTGCGGTTATTCGTTATACTCACCTGCTAGCTCCTCCACACTACACTGATGCATACGTGCACACATTTCTAACTGCAATCAGAGAAACAGGTGTTGAAATGCAGCAGACCTAATTTTTAGACTATAAAACGGGGGTGTTATTAATCTCGCCATGAAAACTATTTCAAAAATATAAACATTTCTCAATGACTATGAAAAATTTTGAATTTTTTGAATCATAAAATAAACGATTTTTTAATGAATTAATGAAGCGTAGTTCGTATTTCTAATACTGTATTTGTCGCAATTTTTGCTTAGTCTTTTTAACTTAACAGCTAAATAACTAACAAGCAAACCTCTTCAGTTTAACATTAAATTACAAGCTAAAACAGCCAGACCTTGAGTGTCAAATAAATTTAACTAATTAATGAAATTAATCGTTTACTCAGAAGAATTTGAACAATTAGAATGAAAATTTACATGTTTTGTTATATATATAACAAAATATTATTGAAAAAACAATTAGCAAAAATAAAATAAAACATTGTTACTCAGCACATGCAGACACGCACGATAACAAAAATTTTATTAATCATACGTAATGAAATATACGTATATATCAAAAAAATATTTTTAACGAAAATTGAATATCATTGTAATAAGAAAAATTACTAACTGTATATGAAGCAAACACTACACGAACCAACTAAACTCTTCTTGCCGAACATGTTCACGTGTATTTATAATACACGCCTATGCAGCTGACGGAATGACAACGATATGAATGTTGATAAAAAGCAAATTTAAGGATAGAAACTATTCAGCACTCGTTTTTATATGATATTCATCGTCGAAATGTGCGCGCGTGTGTGCGTCCTCTAACTAATCGGTCAGTCGGAACTGAGAAGAGCTGGATTTCAAATTCATGTGCATATACGTACATACATATTCAACAATCTACATTAACATGCACAAATTGCACATGCATATATTGTATTAGCATACACTTCATGTATATATATATATATGTATATATATGTTTGTGTGTATGTGTGGTTATATTATACATAATTCCATATAATCATATGATACGTAGTTAAACATTCATATACACACGAGTGTTCTTCGGGCTTTGTTCATGCGTATGCGTTATATGTTAACTATATTATACATGCATATTCATGTATTGTACATTTTGTACTAGCTTATTATGTACTAGTACTAGCTTGAATATATTATGCTGTATAGTAAATCAATTTATTTTATCAATTTAATTAAACTTTTATAATGAATAAGCATGAGCACTTGCTGCAAATGTTCTTTGTGGGTTACTAAAATTTACCAAACAATTTTTTAATTTGTTATAGGAAGTCTCAAGCTCCAATTCTTAAAGAATTTTTTATCAGCAAAATTTTGTTTCTTCAGTGATCCAAGTCTTATGGCTACTTCAGCGATCGTCTTAAGTATGCTAAGGTAGTTTCTCGACTAATCCCACTCAACGAAATATAAATCGAACCACTGGGGCACACACACAAATGTTTTCAATTTTTTGTCAAAATTTATAGAAAAAAAACCACAAGCCAGATCATTGAAATACAACGTTAGGTCTTGAGTTTTACCGATGATCACGGAGAACTCAATTGATGAGGTTAGGGTTAGATTTTCAATTTCGACTTTGTAAATCAACAAGAAAATTTACACAGTTTCGGATCAAATTTTGATGGAAATAACAAAAGATTAAGCCAAAACTAAATTACAGTAATTAATTTATGAAAAAAGATGAATTGTAAAGCAATGCTTGTGTTTGTCGAATAAACTTAAGCTATTGAAAAATAGCATTTATTGTAAGGCACAAAAATTGTTTATTTCTAATCTAGGTACATACCTAAAAACTTAAAGTAAAGATACTGGGTGGGCCAAATACCATAAGCTGAGTTTTTTTTTGTTCTTAGTAGTGAGTTAGTATACCTCCTTAAATAAGTTTTGAAATATTTTAAGTTTATTACTGAAATTTACATTGGAGATACAACTTTGTTCTTGTTTTGGAAAACCTTAAAGTATTTGCTTGTAAAATAAAATCGAAAAACATGGACAAACTATTAAGGTCGTTGATGTTATAAAAAAAAGAAGAACTTTGTATATACAATTATGAAAATACACTCTTATATATATATATATATATATATATATATACATATATATATGTATGTATATAAGTTCATTGACCACATTTCTCATTCAGTATAAGTGATGAAGCCAAAACTTTTTAAATATTTTCACTTTGAAATAGTTACGAAAAAAATAGTCACAAGATGTTTATAACGCATTCATATCTGCGAGACAAATGCGGATCTAAAAACTTTAAGTGCATGTTTGCATCCATACAGGAAGGAATGCTCCCTCCTGTGAATGCGTTGCATCATTTTTTGACCACTCAACTGATATAAAAACGCTGAAGAAACATACATCCTGTGTGTGTGTGTGTGTGTGTGTGTGTGTGTGTGTGTGTGCGTGCGTGCGTGCGTGTTTGCTTTTTTTTGTGTGGAAGTTTTTTTACAAGTGTCGTTAGTTGCGCGTGAGCACGTGTGTGGAATATAAATTTAATTTTATATTCTTTATTGAGAGATATTTATTAACATTCAGTACAAAAAAAGGTATATGATAAAAAAGTTAATTAGTCAATAGTTTGTGAATAAGGATAGTCGGGTGAGGGAGGTATAAACTGAACTTAAAAAAAATCAAACAAAAATTTGCAAGTAAAATCAACAAAACGGGCAAGTAAATACGCATCAAGAATATCGACATTCAACCCAAATTGATCTTTCTAAATTTTTTCACCAGGCGCAGGGGTAGTTCATTTCAGACACCAAACATCATTTTAGTTAAGAACTAAATTAGTAGGTGAGAAATTCAAAAAACCAAAACTTTCCCAAAAAAAACATTATAACTAACTTTACCCATCTCTTCCTTTAAACTAATCTAAGAAGAGAATTGAAAAGTTATTTATTCAACAAAGCATTTAATCCCAGTACTATTCTCTGAAGAATGTCAATAGAGTGAATAACATAATAATAATAATTAAATAGATACATTAAAAATCACAAAACAAATTAAAATATGAAAAAATAGGTGACTGTTTCAAAGATGGCGTAAGATAATATCGAATCGAACTTAAATAAATTGTCGAAACCATACAGAGCTGTCTTTACTGCCTAAACAATATCAAACTACGTTTTTGAAGTAATAATTATAAGCTTTAGCATTTCGTCTTATATCACTATCTTATATCCGATCATTCAAATTGTGGTTATTTCAGTGGGATTTCCAGCTAAAGATAGTTGCTGCTGATTCCATACAATAACCTTAAAAAAATTTTAGGTTATGCCACTTGGTACTTTACGCTAAAAAACGAAAGTTATTTGTGTTAGTATTATGATGAATATTTATAAATTTTATATTATAGATTAGTAAAAAAATCGTTCATGAATAAAAAAAATCATTTTTTACATTTCTGTGCAAACTTTTCGAAAACCGAAAAGCATATTACACACAAACGCCCACACTCATACACACAACCATCCACAACAATTCACACCCATCCACACACACACACACACACACAAACAAACACCACACATGAACATAGTTTGGAAAAACGTTAACATGACTCACCCATATACACAAACTTCGCATGTGTGTGTGTTTGTTTGTGTGAGTGTGTGTGTGTGTGTTTGTGTGGCAGCTAAAAAAACAGTGACACACCAACAAAACTTCAAGTACATGATATCCACAACACACCTTTGCAACTCAGCCGGCTGGCTTACCCAAACTCCCAACGTGATCACCTTACGTATAATAAATTATAAATGCACGCACACACACACACACACGCACACGCACACACACAACGACAACAACACAACATTATCAATCCAACAACAACACATCTAAACATAAGAGCATTAAAACTACGGCACATATAAGCCACATAACAACGCCACTACAACAGCAACCCAGCAGAGAAACGCTACAACAACAACAGAGTCAAACCTATAAGCATTACAACCACAAAAACAACCCAAAATGTTTATAGCAAAATAAAAAAAAACAAAACTGACACATCCTAATACAACAACAATCCAATCAATCAAGTAGTTCTAACAACAAAACATCAACACAGCAACAAAATAAAAAACAACATCAACTCATAAGTGATGATGGTTCAAAAGTTAAAACAACAAAAACAACACAACAACGATGAAACAGCAAAACAACACAACAATAACAAAAAAAGACCGTAGACAACAACATCAACAAAAACACAACAACACAACGATAGTAACAACGATAAAATATCGACACAACAACACAACAACTACAATGCCGCAATGCGACACAGCAGCCGTAGAGCCCAACAGAATCAACAACGAAACAACAAAGTAACACAACAACAACACGACACAACAACAACAAAATACAACACAACCACAACAACAAAATACAACAACATCACGATACAACAACAAATAACACACTAACAACAAAGCAGTAGCAACAGAACTACAAGTACATGATATTCACACCATACATTTGCAACTCAGCTGGCTGGCTTACCAGCATGCCCGACATGTGATTACCTTAATGTAATAAATTTTATAGATACCCGAAATAATTCTGTAAGCTCTTACACACATACACACACATATACATATAGTTATATATTTTTATATATAGTTATATTTATTATGAAATGTCACTGAACTTACAGCTTTCGGGCTCAGAAACTGATCAAAGCTGAAAATTCTCTGTAGTTTTACAGTTTTCGGGACGTTAATTTAACTGTATTCTTTTCAATCGCAAACACGATAACTTATAAACCTCGTGATGAAAGTTAAATAATTTATTTGACATCTTACAAGCTGATGCTCTTGAAAAAATCAAAATAGAAGAAAATAAAATATTCTCACAACAGTAGAGAAAACCAAAATGGATAGGATATAAAGTTAGCTGGATAAAAATAGACACATAATGACAAAGGGAAGAAAGTGAAAAGAAGAAAAGATTACAGCACAACACGCCCTTGATCGCATCATTTAGTCTGCTTCACGATATCATATCTCAAACTCAAAACTTGAATTGCCTACCTTTCGTGAATCTACTTGAATGTTTTATTCCAGCTAGACGAATGTCTACTGAATGATTTTAAGGCAGCATCAACCTTTGTGAAGAGATTATATATTTCATATTCATATATTCATAGTCAAATATACAAATTCATATATATACATATACAAATTCATATATATATATATATATGTGTATATATATATATACATATAATTTTATCGATAGACACATGGCAAAAGTTGTCCAAAATAACTTTTTTTATATTATTGCTAAGTCCATTAAGATCAATGACAATGTTATAAATTTTTCCAGTTCGGTTACTGTGCTTTGTTTTTTGTTGGATTCCAAGCTGTCGATGAACCAGCAAATAAAGTCTTTGTTTAAATCTTGCACATTTCAGCTACGTTTGCTGTGAAAAACAAGAAAATGTTTAACCAAAGACACATTGAACTTTTTGGTTCATTCTTTCATCCATGCTCATTTGGATTTTTGTAACAGTTTTCATTACGGGATATCAAAGCGTGATTTATCTATGTTGCAGTCAATTCAAAACAGGGCGGCTAATGTTGTGGTTAGGGGTAGTAGAGTTGACCATGTGAGCCCAATACTGAAGGAATTGCATTGGTTGCGGGTTGATAAGAGAATTAGTTTTAAATTATGTGTATTAATTTATAAGTCTTAAAATAATGTTGCACCACAAAATACGATCGATTTGTTCACTAATGATGGAGCAAAGTTGTCAGAATATGAATTGAGGTCTGATGATTGATTCAAATTTTTTGTGTGCGCCAAAGACAAGCCTCAAGATTGGATCTCGAAGCTTTGCTCTGGTCGGACCACGATTGCGGAATAGCCTTCCAAATACCTTGCGTAGTGGTGATTTTGCTCTAAATCGATTTATGAGGCAGCTGAAAACCCATTTGTTCAGCCCTCAAAAGCATTTAATATATTAAAGTGCCTGCGACAATGGTTTTTTCTCAAACTTAAACGATATAATACGTATACACATTATGTGTTTATCATTGAAATAAACGTACGTACTCGTAGCGGAACACACACATCAACATAAAATCACATCACAAACAGACTCGGAGAAGGTACTACAATAAAATAACACAAACTAACAATATAAACGTATCCAATCATGGAAAAATAAAGCTTGCAAACGCCTGCATTACTGAGATTGAACATCAAAAACTTAATCATAGAGATCAATGTATTTTATTGAATGTGCATCCCATAAACGCATACACACACAAACATATATACATACAAGCATACATTTACACATACATACAAACTTATACACGGAGAAATTAATCATACAGAAACATGGACAAACATACAGAGCAAATACTCACACACGCAAACACAATTGCCGAAACATACTAATATATGTTAATTCATGTCTGCTTAACGCATATGCATTAAGGTAAGGTCAAGGAAGAATACTAAAATTTCGGGCCAAAGTTCAGCTAGTGCTTTCATTGGCAGTCTTCACCAACGCCAGTACACGCACACACACGCACATATTTGCATACAGGCTGTACAAACATTGTACACGTAGCGTGCACACATTGGTTGTACGTTGCATGTTGAGTGTGTGTTTGTGTGAATGTGCGTGAGAGTGTGTTGTGGCAGGTTTTGTTAAAAAAAGTGCGATTATGTACGTGTGTGATGGTGGGATGATATTTTATTTCGTCAAAAACGAACGAATGTTAAAATTTCGGGTCAAAGTTCAGCCTGTGCTTTTATTGGCTGTCTTCTCCAACGTCAGCATACACACACACACACCACACACACACTCACACACACATGTCTGTTTCTTTATTTCCTAAAGAATTCAAGCACATAACCAAGAGATGATAAGAAAAACACATTCGTTAAATTATTTTCCTCCATATTATGACTTTATCATTGACAGAATCGGGAATGTCAGGTAAAATTATCTAGTAAAATTCTTCATTGATGATATACACTGCACAAAAGAAATGAATCTTGAAAAGTTTGCGAGGGCTACCTCTTATGATAAATTTAAAAATTTACTTGTATGTGGATGTAAATGGAGATCCCCTCACCCCCCCCCCCCTTTGATTCAGGACTGAGCAATTGGGCATGCATTTTCATTTATTTTTATTAATTGATCATAAAAATTTTCAATAGACGAACAATGCAACCTTAAGTTGCATACTTTTAATAGGACTCGCTTGTTTCTTGTTGCTTGTCGCTGCTGCTTGTCGCTGCTGCTGGTCGCTTGTTGCAGTTGCGTGGCAGATAGCTGTTGGAGAACTCGTAGGAGACTAAATTTTTTTTCTTTTATTAAATTAAGTACATTAAAATTTAATAAAGATATTAAAATTAATAATAAATTAATCCAATTGTTAACGAAAAGGTATATAAAGTGTTCATAATTGTTAATACAAATATTCAGCCTTTTACAATTTTGCAGACCAAATTTTGAATGAAATTGATTTAATTGAATGATTGGAAATTTGATTTGAAAACGCTTAACTAATCAGGCAAATTCTAACAAAATCCAATATTCATATATGATCGTCATTCGGCGTGATCAACTCCCTTCAATCCTGGGCAGAATTAAAAAAGAAAAATTTACGTGCTGGATTAAATAAAAAGTTTCCCAATATCGGACACAAAACATTCACTAAATTACTTAGACAAACAAACTTCTATTAATTTTTTTTATTCTTAAAAATTCGTTGTTCGGTCAAACGTTGAGCCTCTTTCAACGTTATTCTAAACTTGTAAATTAAACTTTCGCGCCACTCTTCCACGCACACACAGACGCACACGCACACACGACGCACACACACACACACACATTACGTATGCACGTGCAAGCACCTCACCCAAAGCGTATGATAATCATTGAGTTTTGACCGGAGAATATTCGAACCCATGCAATCGCGTAATAGAAGCGCGACAAGCTCGGTTTATACATTAACTTGTTTATGAATAAATTTTCAAGATACAATTCAACAAAAAACCAACAATTCGATAGAGTATGTCAAGATAATTCGCTATTTCAAAATTTCCTGTTTAATTATATTCCTATTTAGATAGTCTGGCTATATTAGTTTTAGTTAAACATGCATTTCTTTATATATTTCTCGGTATAAGGTTTTCCACATTGAGCAATTCATTCTGATTCTAGATTTTTGTTACAATTTTATTCTTATATTTGATAAAAGTATTTCGGAAAGTTTTTACGTAGTTCATTCATTCTTCTTTGATGTCCAAAAGTTAATTTAAAAATATTCTTCATTTGTTTATCCAATATGCGTAAAACTTCTGTTGGGTGTGTCAAAGTTTGATTCATATTTATGGCAAAAATTAATTTTATGTCTATTGTTTTGGGAATTTTTATAGATAAGCCAGAGAATTTTTATTTTTCAGTTAGTTCTGCAACAGTTTCATTATTTTCTGTTGAATTATTTTCAAATTTAGATAATTTAGAAAAAAAAACTGAACTCGGTCTGTTTTCAATGAAAATATTAATAAAAATAATACTCGAAGATAAGAAAATTTGAAAAATTTAACGACAACCAAAGAAATATATATTTACAAATTGCATTTAAGTTTCAAATTTAAAATAAAATCATTGAAACATTAAAAATGTTTAAAAACAAATAACTTCCATTCATAACTACAGCTAAATAAAATGATCAACAAAACAAATGTTAAACAAAATTTGTTCGTTTTTAAAGGCATTTTAACAACAAAACAAAACAATCATTCACAAAAAAACGGGATGATATCATATCATCTTGATACCTCATGACCACATCATCACGTCATTCAACAAAACATAATAACACGAAACACTAATAAAGTTACATCATCTTATCTTGATACATATCACTGGATTTCACATCGTTATTTATCAAACAAGATAGCTAGCAACACAAAAACATTAACATGGAATATATGACTTCTTCATCATATCACATTACAAAATCATGAGCCATATTCTTATCATTCATCAATCACATCATTATCTATCATCATTTTACACAATATTATTACTCACAGCACAATCTATAATCTGTAATGTCATATATAGACTATTACATTATTTAATCTATCATATCATACTTCATCACACAAGTCGCATATCAAAATTTATCATCACTTAAACATATTCATCTTCACTCTCATCATCTATAAATATATCAAATCATCATTCATCCTATCATCATCCTAATTACCATTATTTATCCTATTATTATCATCATCATCACATTGCTATATTATCACATCACAACATAATCCCGCAGTCATATCATTGTATCATATTATCATCCAATATGCTATCAGTTATCCCATCACTATCCAACATAGTATCACTATCCAACATAGTATCACTATCCAATATTGTATCACTATCCAACATAGTATCACTTTCCAACATAGTATTACTATCCAACATAGTATCAACATTTATCATATTATCATCACAACATATCAGATACATCAGTATCCAACCGGTACACGCGCACACAATATTTTGTGGTGGTGAGTTTCATCCCATGAATTATTTCAGCTCTGGAGATCTCACCTGCGAAATTTCATTGACCTGGAAAAAAAAGGAAAATAAAGAAAATAATTTTGCTTCGTTTTAGGAAAATAATTTTGCTCTCTTAGTCAATGTTATTCACTAATAAAAATATGGTACCCGTATCTGGTGTATCGTGTGTAATGTATTCATTACATTGCTACACGTAATTTTTATTATGTCACTCCAAGATAAGATTAATACGATGAGATGTTAAAATGTAAAATGAGATATAACAACTAATAGAATTTATTTGAATTATTGAATTTAGATAATTAAAAACAACAAGACATACAAACGAACTAACAAACAAACGAATTAACAAACAAACAAGTAAACGAACAAACAAATAAGTGAACAAACGAGCAAACCAAACATCAGTAAAAGAACGAGCTGTTTATTCAGTCAAAGACTAACCTCATTGTGGAGCAGCTCTCCATACTTGCTGTTGAATGTCACTTTCACGACGCTCGTCTTTCCAGTGCGCTGATCAAAAACCTTTACAATGGTGTGTGTGTGTGTGTGTGTGTGTGTGCGTGAGTGTGTGTGTAATTTTTTTTAAAGTACTGAAAAAACATGATTGCTAAAGTATCAATTATGGTTTCTTATTATCAATTTAAAAATGTCAAATTCGATAAGGTGTATATTGTTTTGTTCACGAAAAGAAACAAATTAGAAGATAAAGAATATAGCAATAATAATTATAAAATAATAGTCATATAATAATGATAAGTAATACTAAATAATAATAATAATGATAATATTAACCCTGCATGACTTAAATGGAGGAGAGTACAGATGCAAGCTGACAGTCTTGTTGGAGTGACTTGGATTGGCCATGCGATGTAAACCCATGCTGTCTGTGAGATGTTGAAATGATGAGTGAGTGAGTGAATGATGTTGGTGAGATAGTGATGTGGGTGAGTGAGGGGTTAATGTAGATGAGATGATGATGCAAGTGTCGAAAATCGCTACTTAAACCAGACCATCACTAAAAAGCACTAACCATTAATGTAAGTAACTTGGTCTTTGTGGTACACACTGACATCAAACATCTTTATCTTTATCTCATCACTTTTACCTTCGCCACCCTCCTGCAGTTCTTCCTCGGTGGGCCAATGGTACATGGTCTCTTCCAGCTCCCCGTCCAACATTTTCACAAAGCAGTCGGCACTGCTGTGGTCATGAATGCTGCTGGCATGACCTTCGCCCCAGCAGAGGGCAATCAAGTTGAACTTGCCCTCGAAATCATCCACTAGGTTCCTCGTGTATCTGATTCGTCGGTTGATTGGGTATGTGTGGATTGTTGGATGATACGATGGTTGGTGTGTTTGATTGGTTAGATAATTAAAAGAGCGATTGGATGGAAACAAAATCGAAATACGTAAAAATTTGTTAATGATAAGTTGTGAACATGTATTAGGTCGGCTTACACTTTTCTTTAGAATGTTGTGGCATCTTATTACGATACTGATTTATCAGAATTCAATTTCATTGAATGGTGATGACGTTTGATTTGATAATAAATTATACGGAATGTAAAATTTTTATTTATGTATTTATTATAAACACCCTCCCACACACACGCACACTACCTTAAAGGATCAAATTTAGCGTATTTCCTCCAATCAGCTGGACTCGACTTGTACCTGGACAGTACGTCTTTGACCTCTTCCACGTTGACCTCTTGACCCTGATAAATCCTGCGCAGCTCCCTAACAAGGGTGTCCATATCCGGAATCTCCTGCAACTTTTCCTCTTCCCCACTCATGATTTGGGACATTTTCTTCTGGTTAAATTCCTTCACTTGCTGCGCGTTCATCTGCTCCATCTGCTTTGTAATCTGGCGATTAGAAAATAAATGTAACCAAGTGAATAAAATACAAAATGCTGTTTTCATTTATCATTTATAAAAATTTCATATTCTCGTGACTGGTTTATTTCCACAATTATATAGAATTAAAAAAGTGATTTTTTAACATATTTAAAAAAGTTTTTTGAAATAAATAACGAATCATTATTATAAATCAAGAAAAGATATAAAATAGACCAAAAAATTTATACCCTCAACTTCAGGCATGAGTGATTGTGTAACGAAATAATTCACATTTTTATATCCGAGAATTGTGATTCATCAACATAATAACCTAACGACCCAATCATCATTATTAAATTGATAATTGTTAAATCTGTAAACGATTTGGGAGCGGATTTGACATATAATAACATAACGTGCGACTTGTATGGCTGATATGACAAATTTGACAATTGCTAAATTTACATACGATTGGATAGCGAATTTGACATAAAATGTGAATGTAAAATGAAGTGTGAGATTTATGGCTTGAGTGACAAATTTTATGATTGTTAAATTTTTTGTATGATTGTTTAAGTGGACTTGACATAAATGTGAGTATATGAAAATTTACTTAATTATTCATTATATACATAATTAATTGATTTAATCGGTATTTGAGTTGGACGTACAGACTTAATGTTTTGCCTGTGTATTTTTTGATAATAATAATAACACTGGTATAAATACGCTACTTACATCTTTATCAATAATATTGTTGTATTTTGTTCGACCGTTAAGTTATCAAACCTTCTGTAGGCTCGAGATTTCTGATAGGTTACAAAGTGCTTTAAACACAGACTTGTTCAAACGCGTACTTGAATGCCAACTGTAATCGTAACACTGAATCATCCGCTAATTCAAGAAATAAACTCGGTGTCTCCTCACGATCGCCAAAAATTCACATTAAAACTGCATAAACCACAACCGCACTTCTTTTATTACTCGTTCCGTGCTAAAAATCAGCAGTTTCATAATTAATAATCGATCGAAGAATCCCACAGTCCTAGAAGATGACAAATACGGCAAAGATAACAAAGATAACAAATAATTTTTAATGGAAGCATGGAAATGTAAAATCAAGACAATAATTAACTGAAGCTATTTACAGAGTGCAAATCGACCATTCCAGTGGTTAGAAAATTATTTTTGAAATTGTTAAAAATCAGCATTGATAATATTAACACAGTCATCAAATACATCAAACATCATCATCACATACGTCATCACGTACGTCATTACGTACGTCAGTATAAAATAAGATATGAGCGTCTGCACCATTGAAATTATCACCACTATCACGTCACTACGTCATTTGCCATCAAAAACATTTCACCAGAACATATGTCATATTGTCATTACATCATTAATCATCAGGGCGGCGTGATGGCTCAATGGTTAAAGGCGCCTGGTCTTGCTGCTGCACTGACTGGGTTCGAATACAAAGAGATCTCCGCCTATCATATGCAATGTGTATGATTCGTGGTTTGCACGCGTATTCATATACGCTGTGTGTGTTTGTCGTTGAAACCTCTGAAGCAAGTGCAAAAGAGAGAGTAACCTTTTACCTTTAACCTTTATCATTCCACCACCAATCATCATCCACATCGTATCGTCAGTCAATCATAACCACAATAACAATAACATCACCAGATACTATTCAACTGGTCACCATATCACATCACATGCACCATTATATGGTAACATCGACCAAACTAACCAATGACATATCCATTGCTTTCTGTACAGACGTTCAATATCTAAAAACAAGAGTTTTATGTTTATTAAAGGTAAAAATATTATTATTAAAACTATTATTATTATTATTATTATTATTATTATTATTATTGTTAATTAATACTGACGATGATGGCGCCAGCAATAATGGGTGTTAATGATGACGAAACTTCGATAAGTAACGTTAATTAGTGATATAGTTTTTTCAAATTATTCTTAAAAAAATAGTGATAAAAAGTAACCATTGGAAATAACACAATGTCGATTTATTTAAGATTTTATCTTCTAGTCATTTTCAATCACAGATTTTATGCCACCTTATTGTGCGTGCGTGTTAATAAAATTGTTCTAATTAATATTATCAAATCGTCTAATAACCTAATTATAATTAACGTGATTTGAACTGTACCCAATATAAATTGTTAATCTTGACCTTAATTAGTAACTTTGCATATTGTCTTGATTTGGATATTGTTTTAATAATTATTAATCTTGATAATAACACAATTAATAAATTAGTTGTGTTAGTAATTAAAAAATTAAAACTAAATAATTAATTAGTTAATACCGAAAGAGTGAGAGAGAGAGAAAGAGAGAAGAAAGTTATTTGCTAGAACAGTGCCATTGTATCAAATGAAGACTTCTATTATTCTGAATACTGTGCCCAATCTAACATCTAGTCATCACATATTGTTCATTGGTTAGAGTGCCAGGTAATTATCATTATAATACAAATTAGCTCGGGCAGAGCCCTTGCCAAACAAAAATTAATGTCTTATTCATTCCTTTATCCACTAAAAAATATACTATTTTGATAGTATATATTGCGGTCTGTCTGGTGTAAAGATGTCTAGACTAAAGTCAGTTCAAAATTGGGCTGTAAGGTTGGTTCAAGGTGGCCTTAAATACGATCACGTTAATCCAATCTTTTTGCTCTTCACTGGCTTCCGGTTTATCAGAGAGTTATTTTCAAGATATGTTTAATGTATTAAAGGAGTTGTCCCTATTTATTTAATTGACAGAGTCATTCCTAGAACAATGCCACTGCAGAATTAAACATTGGCTCTGACAATCCAGATTTACTGTTTGTACCTACCTGACACAAACTTGGTTTTTGGTCGAAGGAATTTTTCCATAATGGGTCTTGCTGTTTGGAATGGTCAATAATAATAACAATCCTTGGTTTTAATGGCGTAATAAGCACAGTCATTAGTGTCATTAACTTGATAATAAGTCATGATCTTGAACTTGACAATTAATGTCATTAAATCAAGAGTTAGTTAGTGTCATTAAAGCAACTATTAGTTAATGTCATTAATTCAACTATTAGATGGTTCTGTGTTGTTTGAAAAACTTATCCACTATTGATATCTAGCTCAGTAGTTATAATTTTGGATGTTCACGTATATTCTCACCAAATTTCAATGAAACCGTTTGCGGATATAACAATTTATTTCTGAGTGAAAAAATCAAGTAATTAAACGATTACGGTTGATGCAAAATGTTAACAAAACAAAATAAATTAAATAATCTAACAATAATGGGATTTATAGCTGAACATTTTCGTTTTATGAATATAAAAATTTCAAAAAAGATAAAATCCAATTGAAAATTGAGTTTAATAACTACATCCAATTAACCGTTTTGTATAATGTTGAAAATCCAAAGCAACAATTTTTTTTAACAAAATCAAACAACGCAATAAACTGAGAGAATTTTGAAACAAAAATTATGGCAAGCCGATGAAATTTTCCACTTTCTGCAGCGACGATAACGTTTGCGTCATTTTTAAATGGATTCCGCAGGTTGAACTCTGAACTTTATCCTCCAGCTTCAAAACCCCTTTTAAAAATCAAACGTATCGTCGTTGTGTGTGTGCAGTTTATTTTTAGCTGTAATCATTTATTTACACTCATACTCTGCTGAATGAACAAGAAAGAAAGAGAAAGAGAGAGAGAGAGAGAGAAAGAAAGAGAGAGAGAGAGAGAGAAAGAAAGAGAGAGAGAGAGAGAGAAAGAGAAAGAAAGAGAGAGAGAGAGAGAGAGAGAGAGAGAGAGAGAGAGAGAGAGAGATGAAGAAAGAAAAACCGAAAGTGAAAAACAAAATAGGAAAAGAGGGAGAGAGAGAGAGAAAGAGAGAGAAAGAGAGAGCGCTTGCGTGAATGTCACATTGGAGTTGTAAGAATGATGAACTTGAGGATTTAAAAAACATGAATGGTGGATGATGGATGGTGCCGCTCTTAGTCTAACTCTGTTTACAAATTGTGGAAAATAACATTTTCCCATTTTACTTAAAGTTTATTATTATTATTATTATTATTGTGACATATTTTTATTCAGATTATTCTGGAAAAATCATTTGAGCGTTCACCCAGCAATGGATTGTTCTGTATGTATGCCTGAAGTTCTTAGATCTGAGCAAAATTTTTAGCCGATTTGCCAAAATCATTTTATTTATCCTTTTAAAGTTTAGGTCGCGTGTCATCTAGTGTTGGTTGAAATTATTTTCCTTTTATATTTAGATGGCAATCAATTTCGTGGCTAAAAACTTATATAAAAATTCAAATAAAAAACAAGATTAATATTATTATAGAACTTTTTTCAAATAAAATAATATCTGAAATGAATTAAAATCCCAAAATCATGATCTTGATTTTTTTCTTAAATTATAAATAATAATAATAATAATAGTAATGACAGTTTTTTTTATAAAGGCATTGTAAATAAAATCTTAAACATTATAATTTTGAATAATAAATCACTCATAGGTGCGTCTGTTAAATCTAAGTGCATGAATTACATTTTTTGGTACATTAGGTACATATGGTAGGTACATCCTTTAAGTGCATTCCTCAAAAACGATGAATGTTCCAAATAATGTTAACTTTTTATTTATAAAAGTTCAAAAACAGACACTACAAATAATTTTAAGAAATTATTTAAACATTTATTTTTGTTTAACTATTTTAGAATGTCTATCGCATAAATATCTATGTATTTTTAAATACAAAATTTGTTTGTATTTTTATGTATTTTATTGTATGCAGGCAAAATGGGCCTACAAAGTTACAAACAATGCCATGCTTTGCTAATTAGACTCCAATGTTGGTCTACTCTACAAGTGTGAATGCATCATAACTGAAGACAAAATAACATAACAGTGCAACTCAATATATAATCGTCTTGATGTATTACACTATGTAACCCTCAAATGTAACACACTCAACGATTATAGTGTAAAAATATTATACAGAATGAACATGGCACCATTCATAATTTCGGCTATTTTGAGTAACATTACACAAGACATAGTTTACAGTTATATAAACTTTAGAAATAGTACCACATCGTATGAATTTTTAATAAAAAACTAGTTACAAGTTAAACAATAATGGCAATAATAAAATTAGTAATATTATTAATACGGTAATTATATTTAAATACTAATGCAATAGCATATCTGTAACAAACATGTTTGGACGTTGACACTGGTTGCAGTCAAAGTTAATAATAAGTCATTCAAGCAAGATTTCTCTCTCCCACAGTTGTCACCTTTCAAAGTTTTTTCCTATTTTGAGTCCAGAGGTTAATTTGATGTTGCGATAAAAGGAGGAATTTTGTACCTATACTTTTGAAATATTACTCTAAAATTTTGTTTAGAACTTTATAATTATTTACTAAAATATTAGAAAAAAAGATTAATTTTACACTAATATTGTCAAAAAGATTAAAATTTACAAATATTTTTAAAAATTGTATGTTTCCATCAAAGGTGTGGCCATGGGTAAACTCGGAGGCTAAATCCCTTGAAGCCTCTTTACAAAAGATGTTTTCTTAAAGTTTTATTCAACAAATTCACTAAAAAGATTTATGAATTTCGGTTTTAAATAGCTACAGTTCTTTAAAAATCAAAAATATGTTGCTAAATTTGAATAAAAATATAGGTTTTCGATATGGAAATCATGATGAAAATTTGAAATAATCAGTAAAAGGTAAAAAAACATAACAAGTTTTGGATTTATTGTTATGACATTGCTTTTCATTAAGCATTCATTCACCACTAACTGAAAAATTAGAAATAGCTAATAGAATATTGCTATCCAGTTTTTTCAACATCCTTACATTTTGTAACTTTTTCAGCTGTGTAAGTTTCTGTTATTCTTATTTTCTTCACAAGCCATGTTTTCTGATGTTTGACTGACTGGCGTTTTCAAGCTTTTGAAATTATTTAAAGATTGTAAAGTATAAAATCATTAACACGACACTAAATCGTACATAGAGCATGCATGCCCAAGTTTCAATAGAAATCTTGTATATCGTTTCGTAATATTTGGTTTACGTTTAAGATAATTTTTTTGAAATTTTTTAGATGTCTTCTAACGTCATGACATAGACAATTTTCAATATTTGGGCAAAATATATAAAATATAAATATCGAGACAGAACTTGTTTCAAACAACGACTCAAGTTTTAATATCGATCTTAAAAAAGCTGTTTCCCATAGCGCCTGACAAAATTAATAACTATATGCAATTTGTTGAGCTCGACGATAATGGACATGAAGTTGATTGATAAAGAAAACAACGAAATAATCAAAACCCAACAACTATTGCAACAACTCGAACAAAATAAATAATTAGAGACGCACCGAAAGTATGGCCCGACCAAAATTTGGCATTTGACTTTAGCTTCAGCCATTTTAAGGCAGGACAACCGAAAAGTGCAACATTCGTTTAAGCCATCCTTTTTTACAATAACTGTTAAATATTTTTTGCAGAAAATATATTTTCGCCATCTAAGTTGTTATAACATTTGAATTTGATGAAGAGATTGACAATTGTTTCGATGAAGAATTTTGCGATAGACATAAATTTTTTTATCAATAGCTTGTTTTTCAATCTAAAAGAAGTTTTCAAAATAATGATGTTTTAGTATTTAGCCTTCGGCTTCGACCGAATAGCGGATCAACTATTCGGCTATTCCGTATTAACTGTTCGGTGCATATTGCACAAATGCTCTTGCAAGTATTATACAACATTTCATTCTATGTACTATTCTTTAAACTTTGAACTTTAAAACGTACCAAACTCAATATAAGATATAACAATAATAACAATAATAATATGAATAATAAGGTAAATCACATGTATGTAAAATTAAAAATTATCTTCAAAGCGTTCAACAATTCGCTCCACGCGACATTTGTTTCTATAAACAGATTGGCTCACTTTACAGGTCCAGATGTCTCGGCCAAATTTAGAAGATGCTGATCCGTCATCAGTTGGTCGAGAGATGACTGAAAAAGAACTTGCCGATTTGAAAATTTCCAAAGCTTGGAAGAAATACATTAAGAAAAAGTTGGAGATGGTTAGTTCGTTTTGCCTAATATTTTTTTAGTTGTCTATTAACTATTTGGTTTTTCACACTGAATTATTTATATAAGAATTATTTAAAGAGAAACATTTTTCATAAAAAAGGTTAAAGCTTTAGGATTAAAATAATTAATGAAAATTTTTTAATGTAAATATGATTGTCTTAAAGTAATTATAAATGTTATATTCACTCAAACAAAAGGGATTTGAAATGAGGGTTCATTTTCCTTACAATTGTGATGGAAAAGGTTCATTCGTCTTTGCAGTCGGCATGATAATAAAAACTACACCAAAAACAATCTATTGTTTAAATTCCTATTTAAAAGTTAAATCTTAAAACTTTTTCAAAGATAACAATGAAAATAATTTTTCATTATTATTTTTATTTTTTCACATTTTCAATCGAATAAATATTAATTTGAATAAAAGAAAAAATTTTGAAAGATATTTAAATACTTTACAAATGCCTTAACAGTAAATAACAAAATTTATTTCAATAAATTTATCAATAAAATATGAGGAATTGCAAAAGAGAAAATTATGTTTATCAAATTCATTCATACGTAAACTTGCTTGTGGTTCAAAATAGATGTGGACAAACTACGGCTCGCATGCGGCCCGCGAGACCTTGTTCAACCAAAACAAAGATCACATCACTACCATAAAAAAATTTGCTATTTAAATACACACGTGGCCCTTCAAAGATCAAATAGTTTTCAATGCGGTCATCACAGCAAAAAGTTAGCCCACCCCTGGCTTGAAACATCTAAAAAAACGAACCAACACCGTAATCATTGGCAACTATACTTACAATTTTTTCTCATTCAATTTTGCATATTGCCGTTAAGATTATTATGTCATAAATTTATCGTGATTTGAATTTTCTGTATTTGGTATTTCTATCATGAAATGTCAGAATTTAATAAAAATTTATTAAAATGAAATATGCTTGGTCTTTAACCTTTAACCACGACAAAACTTTATATGAGAGATATCAACTAAGCAAAAATTGCCGCCATTACTATTATACATCTCAATAAATTTCATTGATGAATGTTTTTACTATCAGCTAAAACAACATTAACCGAATCTAACTTATTTCAGTTAGTTTTCCAAAAATTTTCACTCAGGATATTGACATCAGTCTAACCTTCAAAACCACTATTAACAAAACTTCAGCCATTATCAAATTTATATTCTTTGTTATTAGTTTTTGCCTTAATTACTCTGATTCAAAAATAATTACTTGGATCCAAACAACATTAAATCAATTTTTCTAACAAATTAGTCATAAATTAGTTATGAAACTTTGTAATCTTACTCAATTTATAATGACCTCAAGTAAAATGACCACAATAGCCATTACCCAGCTAGCCAGCAATCCGAACTTCAGATCTTCAGTACTCTTCACCATCCTCACTGTTGACTCGGCTATCATGGTCTCGACTGTCTTTGGTATCCTTATTTGAATAATTCTCATTCACATCTTGGCTACCACCTTTCTGCTCACTTCTGGAATGGCCATCGGGATGAATTTCTTCGCCATCATCTTCACGGCCATCTTCTCGATCATCTTTATTTTTATCATCACTTTCATGATAGATTTCATGACCATCTTCATTCTGATAACCCTCGTCACGACTATCATTATCTGGTTCAAGATGGTTGGTATTACTTTGGTCATTGTAATCGGAAAAGTAATGTTCTTCAGTTTCAGATTTATCAACGCATCTGGAACTTTTCCACTTGTTGACGATATTTTCTTTATAAAATTTTTTGTTCTTAGTTGTTACATGTTCACCGATAGTAAACAGTTCATCTGGTTTACCACAGTTGCTTTTATCTCCCACAAAAGAAGTTTCAAGTGTTAGCTTGCCATTGTCAAATGCAGTATATGGTTCTCAGTAGTTTTGTGTACATCCTCTCCAGAAGCGAATCATCTTGCCTAAATTTAAATGGTTGTTGAAATAATACAAAACACCAACTCTGTTAACTTTTTCATTAAATTAAAAAAGTATTCATGCTAACTTGTCATGTTCACAAGCAAATAAACATAGCAAGCTTTGTACATATGGTCGCACTCTTGAGCGGGAGGACGAACAAAACAGGGGTCATTAAAATCTTCAAGTTCATCCAATAACTTGAGTTGCGCTGAACACATACTACAAATAATCGGCTGCACCGAAGCACCTGTGCGTTTGTGTGTATGTGTGTGTTTTTGTGTATGTGTGGGCTGGCGGTTATTTAGCAATTTCTTATCAAATTTGAAAAAATTATTTGAATTCGCAAATTCGAAAACTTTTTCAAATTCAATGAAAAGTGTGAAAACTCACATTGAAGTGCTGCCAAGGTTATTAAGGCAATCAAATTCATTTCTCTTGACTAATTTGAATGAATTGTTTTGAATTTAATTCTTAAATATAAACATTGTACAGGAATTATTGGATTGAGTTAAATAAAATTTCCTCCGTAACACAATTTTTAATGAAATTTAATAACAAAATTTTCAAAATCCAATAATATAATAAAAATTTCGATAATGAATAAAAAACATATTAAAAATTTTTTCACCACAAAGCATCGAAACACTGAATCACCAGATAAAAAACCGGACGCTCAATGAGACCAAATTTAGCAAAACCATTCTATTTTATAAGCCTCATTTATTTCGATTAATTGGGCCTAAAAACCGCTTAATCGAACCACAAATTTGACAGCGTAAATAAATTGTAGTCCACCGAGTATAGCTTTTTAACCCAAGTGTGACTTGATGGTTTTTGAATGGGTCGCAGCAAATTTTAAAATTTGTCACGAAAGCGCGTTTATGATAAACTACGCCTTGTTTCATAGAGGGTGCATCGTCCACTGTGCCGTGCAGCGATCGAATGCTCTGTATGTGTCTAGGAGAAATGTAAAGCTACGTTAAAAATTTATTCCCAGAAACGTGATCTAAATGAAGGGATGTAATTAAATTATGAATTTAAAACATGTTGAATGAATTTATATATTTTTAATATATTTGAAATAATTATCTGCTAAGCAATAACTAGCATTAAATAAAATTTCAAATCTTTTTAAAAAGTCAAATTCGTTTAACCAATTTCTACGATAACTGCTCTCGAGAAAATAATTTTTCTTAAACTGTGGAATTTTGAAATATTACAGTTATTTTACAATATTACAGTTATTTTAATAATCATTACTAGATACTTTCAATTAGAGACTGGCACTCGTTTGTCGAATTTTTTTTTCAAAGTGTTGCACGTCAATGTTATGATTAAATAGATACGTTGTGTGTAGAGATGTATAGATTGAATATATGATGAATTGTATGTATGTAGAGATGTATAGATTGTATGTATGATGAATTGTACGTATGTAGATTGTATGTATGATGAATTGTACGTATGTAGAGATTGAATGTATGATGAATTGTATGTTTGTAGATATGAATAGATTGAATGTATGATGAATTGTATGTATGTAGAGATGTATAGATTGTATGTATGATGAATTGTACGTATGTAGAGATTGAATGTATGATGAATTGTATGTATGTAGAGATGTATAGATTGTATGTATGATGAATTGTACGTATGTAGAGATTGAATGTATGATGAATTGTATGTATGTAGAGATGTATAGATTGTATGTATGATGAATTGTATGTGCATGAACAAGGTTGTGGAAGTTTTCGATAGATTTCAAAAATTTAAGCAAATGATTTCGTAATTCTATAAATGCTAATGCATTAGATGCTGAATAAGTGAATTATGGATTGTTTAGACGATGAGCTTGAGTTAAATGTTTTTTTACTTTAAATTTTTGCATTTCGTTTGATTTTTATTCTATGATATTTTGTGTTATTCTTTGTTATTCTATTGTTATTTTATGTTATATTTATGAAAAAAAAGATTTTTTTCCAATTGACATTTTAATTTTTCCGGACTAATTATTTGGCTTTAAAAGTTTTACGCGTTCGTCAATTTTTACCTGCTGCGTGTTTCATTGTTGTGTTTCGACTGCATTGAAATCAATGATTTTGGTGAGCTGTCAACTTATTTTCTATGTTTTACTGACTGCTTTGCAAGAAACACTTGAAACCATATCAGCATTTAATACTAATTGAATTACTCATTCACCATTGGGTAGGAACTATTCATCCATCCGTAAGTCCGTCTGTCCGTCCGTTCATTCGTTCGTTCATTCGTTCGTTCGTTCGTTCGTTCGTTCATTCGTTCATTCATTCATTTCTTCCTTCATTTATTCATTTGTTCATTCATTTGAAAAATTAAACATTACTCTTCAAGAAGAACTGCTGACAACATCCTACTTTTGTTTATTTTCAGTTATTTATTCAGACTATAATTTCATAGTTGAATGTATGCGTTCCAACCGGATACAACTTTTTAAATTATCTGCGCAACAAATTTTTTTTGAGTTTTTGACAAAATGATAATTCTTCTAAACAGTGACCAAAGAATTATTAAAATAAGATTGACACTTTGCATCGGAATCGTTGCCGAAAATGACGTCATTTTAATTAGTAAAAATGTTGAAATGTACGATACTGAATTAGCCGGTATAAACAGATATATTCGATTCCGATAAATTAAATTTTACCAAAAATGATATGCAAACAAAGCTTAATAAATAAATAGTTATTAAATATATTTATATTTATGCATTTAAATTATACAATTACATACATATGTAACACTGATTACTGTTGGTTTTATAATGAAGTTATATAATAAATATAAATACAAAGTATCTGGAATCCGTTAGTCAACTTTCAAAGCCGAATAATTAGTCCGGAAAAATGAAAATGTCAATTGGAAAAAAATCGAAAAAAAACGTCAATTTAGTATGAGTAGCTCTGTCGTCAAGAATGTTTATTAGTGTATGTCACAATCAAAAATCAATGACATTAAATCAATAAACTTTATACTGATGTGACTGTGCACATACAAACAAACACACACATAAACACATACACATGCATGCATGTTTTAGCTGATATATTGTTGTAATTTGTATATTCTTCTTTATTTTTCCTACTTTGGATAAAATAAATAAAACTATAAAAATCACAAATATATAGTGTAAAATGAGCCCTGTTAACAACCAATAGGTGAGCTAGAGATTGAGTTAGTCGAACGTAGGTAGGTGAGATCTGAATTTATTGAACACAGGCAAGCCATGGCTAGAATTAAACTAAAGTTTAGAAGAAAAAAAATGACAATAGGCAGGTAACTTTGTATCGTCTCCTTTTCGTGACTAGTGGTCCGTTTAAAAACGCGCTTGAATCCGCGGCAAACCGCATTGTGGATATCCGGATATTTGGGACTCTAAAAATTACATTAAGCAAACATTATCAAAACATTGAACATGTGATTCTGCCATTGAACATTATAGGATGTAAGGCAAGACAGTATTTTGCGATTACAAAGACCGAAAAGAGTAATAATTATATGGCTAAAATGTTGCTTTCCAAAAATTTTAGGCAATGCAGTAGACAGAAGGGTTTTGATTAGTAGTTGATATTCACTCTTCGCCCATTTTTTTTCATTTAAAAAAAGAGTAAAAATTGTTAAAAATTTAAACTGACTTTATTAACAGCAAAAAAGATACACAGGATGGTCACAAGGGTGGTCACAAGAAATTTTTTTTCAAAATTTTATCGGGGGAACCCCCTAAATTGTGCCACTTGACTAAAAAATGACATCTGTAAAGTTTTAGCTCAATTGGATAATGCTAACCCGTGCCTCATCGAGGTTGAAATTTCGAAAAAATGGAAAATTTTGAAAAAAAACGCAGTTTTTGGTTTGTAAAATAAAAACGGTTCACTCTAGAAACATGATTTAAGTTTTATGAATAGTTTTCTTCAAATGTTACTATGATCACTATTTAGCTACAAGTTATAGTTTCTGACATATTTGCATTGTTACAGATACACATTGAAAAAACGTTGAATTTCTTCATAACACAAAAACACAGAATAACTTATTTACTATTACTAACCCGGGTGCTATATGTTGTTTTTATGTATTAATATTAAGATCTTTTGGTTTTTCTACAACTTCTCATTTTTGGTAAGGAGCAGTTGTACACTGGGATGAGAAATTACTTCCAAATATGTTAAATAAAGAAAATGTTGAAAGAGATGCAGTCTTAATTAGCTGTGGAGAAGAAGAATAGTTAATTGGAGTTCCCCAATTAGAAAATGGTGCTGGCAGTACAATTGCAAAATCTGTCTATTCAGAAAGTTGAGTGCACTAGACAAGATTCAAGCAATGTCCTTTGACAAAACTGTCGGGAATACTGGACGCATTAAAGGTGCTTGCGTTTTATTAGAGCAATTGATGGAGAAAAAATTATTGTATCATTCATGTCGCCACCACATTTTGGAGGTAGTGTTGAGATCCGTTTTTGATGCTGTGATGGGAAAGACTACAGGTCCTCAATCGGATATTTTCAAAAAATTTAAAACTGAATGGAACAACATTGATAAAAAAATTTAAATCAGAAGTTAAAGATAAAAGTGTAGCCAGCAAATTGATTAATCCGGGTCAAATTTCAAGTTATCTTCTAGAACAATTAACAGTTCATCATCCAAGGAGCGATTACAAAGAATTGATTAATCTTTGTCTTATATTTTTGGAACGCTTTCCGTCAGAAAACATCGTGTTTGCGGCTCCTGGTGCTTTTCAACACGAAAGGTGGATGGCAAAAGCGATATATTCGTTGAAAATATACCTTTTCAGAGAACAGTTTCAACTGACAATTTTTGAAAAGCAAGGATTTTATGATATTTGCCTATTTATTATAAATATTTATGTGAAAGTGTGGTTGGATGCCCTGAAACCTGCACTTGCTCCAAACCAAGATTTACAATTGTTAAAATCTTTGGTAAATTACAATAAAGTCAATAAATTTATCTCAGATATATCAGTTTCAAAATTTATCAACCACATATAGTACCTCAATCAAGAGCAGGCTGTTTTTTCATTATTTGATGATTCATTAAGTAATTGTGTATAAAAGAGAATGGCAACGAAATTAATATCTCAAGCAAATGAGGATGAAGAACTTGATGACTACTGTGATATGAAACCACTAATAAAAATAAATGAAGTATCAGAAATATTGGACAAAAATGCGGACCATTTTATTTCATCACAATCAAGTAATTTTTTTAAAAAGATTTAATATTAATGATCAATTTTTGTATACCAATCCAGAATTATGGAGTAATAACGAAGAATATTTAAAGAGTAAAAAGATTGTGAACGGATTAAAAGTTACAAATGATACAGCAGAAAGGGGTGTTAAATTAATAACAGATTACAACTCATGTATTACAAAAGAGGAAGATCAAAAAATATCTTTTGCAAGTAATTGCTGAATGTCGGACAAAATTTCCTGGTTGCTCAAAAGCCTCCTTATCCGAGCCTCTACCTTTTGAACAACGAGTTAAAGTAGAAACTTATTTGATGTATAACAACTAAAAACAATATAATATGAATAAAAAATGTGTTTATTTAATAATAATAGTGATTTAGATAAAACGGTGCTATTTTAAAAACATTTCTTTATAAACAAATTAAGTTATTGTGTGTTTTTGTGTTATGGAGAAATTCAACGTTTTTTCAATCTGTATCTGTACAATGCAAATATGTCAGAAACTATAACTTGTAGCTAAATAGTGATCATAGTAACATTTGAAGAAAACTAATCAATGAACTAAATAAAACTTAAATCATGTTTCTAGAGTGAACCGTTTTTATTTTATAAACCAAAAACTGCGTTTTTTTCAAAATATATATTTTTATAGCTTATCACCCAATGTGCTAATTAATAGTGGAAATATTGTGTCAATTTCAATTAAAGAATAGAAAGTTATTAATTTATTTTGGCTAATTTTTCAAATAATTACAACGAAATGATTGTTGACACTGTTGGCAACAGGAGTGGAAGCACGGCCTTTTCCCCTTTCCTGACAAATCCGCCACTGCATACAAATAACGTGCAATCACCGAATTAAATAAGCAAGCATGGTGAGTGACGGTCATGCTTTAAATTTCGACAAACCATCAGGAATCTTCATTTTCTCGTTTGGCTATGTTTAAATCTTGTTTGTAACATTTTAATTGTTGTAATGAAGAGTCACCGACATCAATGTCATGAAAATAGTTTTGAATTTATTATTAACAGTTTTAAATATTTCAGATCTTTTTAAACTCTGCTAATTAAAAATTCGCATAAAACAAAAAAAAATCACTTTAAAACCTTCTCTGCCACTGAATCTTATTTTTGTTCTGGAGTTTCAACGTGAAATAGTTTTCGCATTTTCCGCTTTTTTTTATCATTAACATATGCGATATCTTCAACTCTTTTTTATATTGTCAAAGTCGTCTCTGACAGTTTTTATGAAATCTGTCAATGAATATGATAACACTGCTGTCTTTTCGTTAAAGAGTCTGGCTTGCAGCATCTATTCTAGTTAAAAATTTTCCCCATATAGAAAGTACTCAAATGTATCAAGTTGTTCATGCAATTCGGCAATTTTGGACCTTTTTCATTTCTGACGTAAACCACATTTTAACTTTTCTTTAACGTTTTGATAGCCTCCGAACAAGCTGGTGTCACTAGAAAATTTAATGTTCAAGTGTCTGCTCTTACCAAATTTTCCTTTATGCATTTCAAAAGTGTAGAAAAAAAATGCAACAGCAAGGAAAGAATCAATGAAAATTAATTTATAAATATTAAAATAATTAGAAAATAATTTTTGGGTCAAAAAAATTACGGGCCCTATGCCTTAGTCCGCCTGCTTCTTATTAAAACTAAGAAGTTTATTTAATATCAAATGACAACTGCGGAGTTTTCAAATGCCAATGCCCTACTAGCATCAACAGTTCTTTCGTTAGAGTTCACAAATCTCAAAAGTTACAAAGTTTAGTAGTTTTGCTCAACTATCACATCCAGCGAGTAAAAATAAACACGACAGATATTGTTTCACTATTAAAAAAGTTGCAAGATGCAGTTGGATGTATGTTGAATATAGCAAATAATAATCAATAATAACGATAATTAAATACATCTTTGTTATAGTAGTAAGTAAAATAGTTAAATATATTTTAGTTTTAGTTACAGTTAATAATAAACAAATAAATAATCATTAAATATTATAATTAAACACATTTCATTGCAAAAAATTGTAGTAGTCGGTTTTTGTGGTTGCTGCAAATAGGACATCGATTCGAACATTGTCCTGTGAATATCTGATGAGTTCTGCTTTTGGTCAGTCTGTGTTGAAATGTAATGACGTAAGTAGAGCAAGACATTCTGTCGTGCTTCTGGTCTATATCTTTCGTCGGAAAGGGAGGGGGACTTTGGAGCTGAACCCTCCAATGGTGTGGCGAGGGTTAACAAAAATTGAACAAAGTCACTGGATAAATTCGCAAAGGTATGGACCGAAAACTGTTTCAACAAAAAAATTAAGTTTAATTTTGGCCAAACCATTGGTCAAAATCAAAAACAAAATTTAACAACTGTTTTGTAAGCAAAATGGGTTCCAAAGTTTAGCATAACAAATTTACACCACTCTACCTATATTATGATACATTAAATAAAATTAAGAAATATTTTGTTATTATAGATAATATCCTCATTAACAGATATTGTCCTCTATTTGTTATAATAGATACTATCCTCATTATGTAATAATATATAATATATTAAAATACAACAACATTGTTTTGTCGAGGTTGTAGGTTACCCTATACTTTAATATATGGAACGCACATCTGTTTTGTTGAAGATATCTGGTCGAGATGATTCACTTCTGTAAAAGTTCTGCGTCTGTGATCGAAAATTTTCAATTCAAAGTATTAGTTTTGATGAAAATTAAGTGTGTTTTTCGCTGTTTGCTCTTCGTTCGTTCGCGAAGACTTTGGCAAGCAGTACCAAATAAGAACAATTTTTATTCAAATCAACGTGTTCACGATTTTTCTGATGCTGAATTTATAGAAAAATGTTTAATTTGATCTACGTCTCTCTGTTGCTTCATGCAATATTTTTTAATTTTAAACACCCTCCTATATTTTCTGTTATTGTCGATTTGTTCCTATTTATCAATATTATAATTTTATTAATATTATAAATGTTCATTAATGTCAATTTACTATTATGTAACAGTTGGCACTGAATAACAAAATCCAGAATACAGGTACATTGACACTCCACACACACACACGCACGCACACACACACACACACACACACACACACAAACACGTATCAAAATCAATCAGATCAAATCAAAAATATTATTATTATTATTATTATTCAAAACAGCACGGGCAGAACCCCTTGCCAAACAAAAATATAGAAATTCGAAAATATAAACCATAAATTAATAAAATAGGTTATGTACATAATAAACTTATCTTATATATATATAAATAATAATACACAAGTCAACACAACAAAATAATACACACATAATTAATTAAAGTGTAAAAGATGGTAACTATTGAATGTATATAGTGTAAAAGGAACAATTATGAATTCAAACGCCAATCAAATATGGAGTCACCAAAAAATGAATCTAATAATGATTTTAAAATGTTAATGTTATCAGCGTTGACGGCATCAGAAGGAAGCCTGTTCCATAAAATATCTTTTATTTACCAGAACAAAACACACATAAATAAATAAATAAATAAAAAAATAAAAAATAAATAAATAAATATATATATATATATTCATTTATTTATATATATCCTTATATATATTATAAATAAATAAATATATATATATACATATACAGTATATATGATATTTATTTATTGCGTAATGTGTATGTTAGGATGTGTATGTATTTGTGTGTGTGTGTGTGTGTGTGTGCGTGTGTACCTGTACTACTCAGTGCACATGTATGAGTGAATGTATGTATGTATGTATGTATGTATGTATGTATGTATGTATGTATTAATAAATAAATAAATCATTAAATGATAATCAATATGGCTACAGAGCACAGCATTCAACTGAGCAAGCTGTGCTGCAATTAGCACAAAATGTTATGAATAATCTTAATGAAAAGATACTAACTGTAGGTGTATTCATAGACCTCTCAAAGGCCTTTGACGTCATCAACCACGATATACTGATTAAAAAATTAAATTCACATGGAATAAGAGGAAAAGTAAGTGCATGGTTCAAAAGTTATTTAGAGAACAGAGACCAGTATGTGGCAATAAAAAGTCACTCCTCAACAAAACTTAACGTAAGATCAGGCGTGCCACAAGGATCAATTTTAGTTCCTCTTCTATTCATAATCTTCATGAACGATTTTCAACATGCAACTGATGCAAATCACCTTCTATATGCAGATGACACTAACATCTTCTTCCCAACTAAAGACCCATTAAAAGAAGTAGAATACATCAATAACAGTCTTCAAAATATATCAACCTGGTTTATTAAAAATAAATTAATAGTAAATTATTCTAAATGTAATTACATTATTTTTGGTCCGAAAATTTTAACAAATATTATACCTAACCTAGACATAAAAATGAACAATATTTCTATTCCTCGCTCAACCAGCACAAAATTCCTTGGAGTAACAATCAAGGACAATCTTTCTTGGGATATTCACATAGATACTATGTCTAAAAGAATATGCAAAACCCTAGGAGTTATAAGCAAAATTAAAAATAAATTAAATAAACCTACTCTAATTGACCTGTATTATTCGTTAATCTTTCCTCACCTCATCTACTGCAACGTAATTTGGGGAAACAGTCCTGACATTCATCTGAAACAGTTAACAAAATGCCAAAACCGATTCATCAGAATATTTAAAAATCTTCATCCTCATTGTCACACAAGTGAATATTATCTCGAGATGAAAATACTCAACATCAAAAACTTGTTCATCTACCACGTTGCAACATTCATTTTTAGATTTCTACGTCAACAATCGCCGGCATTTTTTAGAAACTTTTTCACTTTTGGAACTTCCATTCAAGCAAGAACTACACGCCACACGCCACTTTTCTATGCTCCACCAGCCAGAATTAAAGTACTCTGCATGAGTTTGAAACACACCGGCCCAGGAATATGGGAGACGATTCCACAAGAAATTAAAGATTGTAACACTTTGCATCTTTTTAAAAATAAACTGAAAAATTTTTTAATTACGAAAAGTTCTTTTTTAAAGGATAATAATGTATATGTATATATATATATGTATATAAGTTTGTACATATTTCATTAACATTGATACATTTTCTCCTATTGACAATTTTATTTTATCATTGAGAAGCTATTTTGAGCTGCACGGTGGCCGAGCCCACAACAATTAATTTTCTTTTTTTGGTCTCCGAATCATTCATGCATTTTGTTTTGTTTGATTGAATAAAAGTGATTTGATTTGATGTATGTATGTATTTATGTATGTATGTATGTATGTATGTATGTATGTATGTATGTATGTATGTATGTATGTATGTATGTATGTATGTATGTATGTATGTATGTATGTATGTATGTATGTATGTATGTATATGTGTATGTGCGTGTGTGTATATATACCGGCATATACCCAGAGCAAAGTCTACGTCTTGCTTATAAATCGTCAACGGAGACTGCAGCGAGTCTGTAGTATCCTCTCTTGTTGACGTTTTGCTGGCTGCTGTGGCGCTACATTTTCTGAATAAAAAATAACTTTTGTATTATAATAATTAACATTATCCATTCTCTGTAAATTTCCACTCTCGTTGTCGGAGATCACTTTTTAAAAAATTCCGATTAATCAAAAGTAAATTTAGTTAGAAAATTAAAACTTGATATTATATTTTAAAATTATTACATTTTTTTTTAAAAGATCGAAGCTAGAAAAGAACAAATCGAGATGAAAAACATAGAGCCGGGTAGCCACTGCACGATTAGTGTGGTAGAAGACCCCCTACATGAGGGCGAATATTTTTTTGAGGGCACTGAGAAGTTGCTGGAGATCTGGTTCTCCCCATCGTCACCCTCATCTGCGTCTGGATCAGTTCAGGGCGGCCGGGCAAGTCTAAGAGACATCAACAGGTTAGCTTCTTGGCACAAACAAAATGGATTTAAATTTTAAATATGACTCTCTTAAAGATTTTACTTTAAGACTTTAAAAAGTTATATTTATAATTATAATATAATAATATAACAGTATAACTTAAAAAAATTTAAATTAAAAATTTAAATTAATAATAATGTTTAATTATTAATCTCAATGGTTTATTAAAAATTTCTTCTAAGCCAAATTCTAATTAAGTAGAGTACTTAAAATTTTTAAATTAATTAAAACAATATTATAAAATAAAATAAATTATATAAATGTGTCATCAATAAATCAATGTAAGTGTAAGAAAATTCAACATGAACACACAGATGAGCTGTTAGTTAAATTAATATTGAGATTCATATTGCCTCCTTTCTAATTTTCAATCAAAATTTAAATCAAAAATGTGTGCAACAATTATATATTGTATTATTTTAAGTTAAATTTATTAGCATTTTTAATTACATGATTATTAAAATTTTTTATTGGTAGTTTTTTTGTTTTGAAGTGATTAAAATTAAATAATTTTATTTTATATATATTCAGTTCAGAACAACTTCAATTTAGAGCTGTTTTTTTTAATTTTTCTTATGTACAGTTAATTAATTTAATTATATTTAACTAATTTAAAATCATTGGACTCTAATTTTGTTATATTTAGCCCACATTTTCAAAATTTTTATTGATTAATTAAATTATGTAAAAATTGGCTTGATGAGATTACCAACTAATCATCAGATGAGTTAGTGTGCCTGAATTAAAGATGGGCTGATATAATTTAATGAGATAATTGAAGTTCTATTTTAAAAATAATTAACAATTATTTTATTTAACTCTTTTGCACTGACTGTTATTAGAATTATTTCCCCTCTATTTAGCTTATATTTTGATTTGTTAATCTTTTGGTTTATGCAGTTGTTTTACTTGAATGAAATGAATAAATTTAAAATTTTTATTTAATTTAAAATAAATTTTTAATAAATTTTTACTTTAAAATAAGACTGACATTACTTTTTTATGTTTTAACATTATATTTATATTGTTAAATAATTTTTCATTATAACATCATCATCATTAGTACATTTAGTAATTATTATAATCTTTATTTAATCACTTAATTAATTATTCACATAATTAATTAATCAATTAATTGATGGTTAGTTACCACACTTATCTTTTAATAACCCCTAAATAACACTCAATTAACTTGCAATAGTTTATTGATGTATTCATAGATTGATTCAACAACATAGCCACAAAACCACAATTATATAATATAATAGCTTTTTTATTAATGGTTTAATCAAATCATCATTAAAATATCATTTTGCCATATGATAATTATTCAGCAATTATTTGCTCATTATAACTGCATGCTTTGCTAATCATTCAGTCAGGCTTTTAGCCAGACACACAAACACATACACAACACACACACACACTCACACGCAAACCACACACACACGCACACACACACACTTACCCACGCACGTACGCACACACACACACCCATTGATACCTCAACACACACATACAAACATGCAAACACACATTCTAAAACACACACACACACATTCACATTTCACAATACATACAAACACTTTAATCATACACACAATAAAACATTCACACACACACACACACACACACATACACACACACACATGCACACATACACGCACTCGTACACACACGTAATACACACTCATTAACATTCACAAATTTACACACATGCACACATTTATGTTCACAGATACTGAATAACGCATACATATATATACACACATGCATTCTCAATAAATCATGTTTTTTAAACACACATACAAACGCGCACGCACGTACACGCACACACGCACACAAACTGTCCATTGAACAGATCAGAGTGGGAATTGTTGTTGAAGAATGTCAACTGTGAGATACTTAGTAGTAGACACTCAACCACTATGGATGCATATCTGCTCAGGTCGGTCGGTTGGTTGGTTGGCTGTTTGGTTGGTTGGTTGTTTGGTTGGTTGGTTGGCTGACTGGCTGGCTGGTTGGTTGGCTAACTGGTTGGTTGGTTGGTTGGCTGGTTGGTTGGTTGGCTGTTTGGTTGGTTGGTTGGCTGGTTGGTTGGTTGATTTGATTGGCTGGCTGGCTGGTTGGTTATTTGTTTGGTTGGCTGGCTGGCTGGTTAGTTGTTTGGTCGGTTAGTTGGTTGGTTGGTTGGTTGTTTGATTGGATGGCCGGTTGTTGGTTCAATGTTAGTAGTTTGGCTGATTGGCATATTAGTTCAATAAGTAGAGGATTCACATCATGAAACATTCAAGTGTTCAAACATGCGAATGTACATAGCAAACAGT